TTAATTCAGATACTTGGCGCATAAAAATTATAATTCTTAATTGAGTTTTTAAGTATTGAATATATCCAGTTTTACGGTTTTCAGACATTAAATCGATTATAACTCGAAAACGTTCAACTTTAGGAAAAAGTTACTGGAATCCTTTTGTTGTTCAGAATCATCTAAAAACGTTAAAAAAAACGACGGCAAGTAGATTTACTCTAACTTCCGACGCCTTCGAGGTTTCAGAGAAAAGGGGTGAGTCAAATCGTTTCAAAAGGCAAAATCGAATCGTCATTCGGTAGGTTCACTTATGTACGATAAATCTTCATATGCAACTATATAAAGCAAATCTACCTTATTTTTGTTTCTATGACAGATGTAAGAAAATATGTGTGACATACACGTATTATGTCTAACAGGTGCATAGTATCACTGAGATCAGCAACTCCTTAATAACGCCTCTTTCACTGACACCAAATAAGCAACGATTTACAACCATTTACCGCATACAGCTTCCAAACTACAATTTTCATCCCCTCCAAACAATGTCTGAATATGAGCAGAAATCTATGAAACACTGTAACACGATGTTCCAGCGATTTTATCTCCGCCACCTATGAAACAATTTTCAACATCTATTTATCTAACTAAAGGATGGAAATATTAAACTTGCGATAATATTCGATTTTCGGTTCACAAGTTTTCTGTTGCTTAAGGATGTCTCCATTACACAAATCCGTGTTTCTCATTTATGTCGGCTTGTCAGTCCGTGTCTGTTGTATATCAATGCGTCATAAGTACTAAGTCAATCTACTTAACGAAATATTCAGAGAACTGTCATAGACGGAGTAACACAAATTAAGGGTTAGGCGAAATGGGTGGTACATTTAGGCCCGTATCGTCAGTCGTCCCTACAATAATTGTAGGGCGCCTTTATGGCCTTCTTGATTGTCATAGTTTTCTACTTCTCCGTGTCAGAACTCTATTTTGAGGTTGTCACAAACATCTATTTGCATCAAATTGTGCTTGCTCATGTTTTATCAGCCTGAAATTTCCTACAATTTAAAAAGAAAGCATATCTTCACAATAGGAGAGTGCTGACGCTGACACGGGACAAGTGTAATCTAGAAATTTTTGAAGAAGGGCAAGGAGTATGACAATCAAGGAGGCCATAAACGCGCCCTACAATTGTAGGGACGACTGACGATACGGGCCTTAAGGATCACAAAATTCAGAAAAATGTATGTGTATATATAAAAGCAGTTAAGATATAATTTACAAAAGTATCACAGGAAGCTAAAGTGGTACTTTCTACTAGTATCCAAATATTGCTAAAATCTATAATTATTTCTCCTGTAGACCAGTTGGAGTTTGTTACCTATTGCACAGTGCAGTGGCCTCCACGTCTATGCAGCATCGCGCTGTGCACGCAACGCCAGCAATTGCCAAGTTATTTCGAATTATGGGCACATTATACATTGGACATTTGTCATTTAATTTTCCGGTTGTTACCGGGGTCAGAAGTTTCTTAATGATAGAACGTCTGACTGATTCTATAGACGCTACACTTACCACCCTCTACCCCCTGCAACCTCAAAACCCCTAAATTTCAACAACCCCTACAAAGATTTTTTCGAAAATGTTCAGGAGCCTCTTAACGAGCCTGTTAAAAAACAAAGTTTAAGCGATTTTTAGTGTCTTCTCCTTTTTGCCCATAGCTCCGCCCACTAGACTGATTTTCAAAAACTTCAAAGCTGTTGATCCTTGGCGTAGTAGTAACCTTGTGTGAAAATTTCATCAAATTCTGAGCGGTGATTTTCAAGTTATATGACGTGTTTTTTCGTGATGTGATTGTCGTATAACATAAAAAAATCTCAATTTCGAAATTTTTCGCAATTACAATACTTTTCGCCAGTTTTGGTATAGGAAGTAAAACATATAACTATAACTGGGCAAGCTGGCGAAAAGCTTTCTGCTGACAACTTGTATGCATGTAAGCGAGGGGCAGTTTGGTTGACATTCGACCAAGAGTCAGACGGATAATGCTGAGCAAGGTACAGGATAATAAAAACAGAGCAAGGAATAATTAAATGCCTCTTCATCCTTGGCATAGTAGTAACTTTGTGTGAAAATTTCATCAAAATCTGAGCGTGACAAGTTATAGGCGGTTATAGAATTAGCGGAAAGACGGACAGGCAGACCGACCGAAATTAGTGACATGGTTTTTCGTGATTAACCTGTCATATAACATCCATTTTCTTTCATAACGACGTAAGTTAATATTCATTAATATGAAACAAATGGTAGCCAAATGTTTTTTCGCGTGACAATTTTTTTCAGGTTTTTTTTTGGATTATTTTGAGCAAAAAAGAGCTTCAACCAAAATATCTTTAAAGTTGAGCGTTTTTGAGTTCATAAGTGATTTAATGTCTGAAAAACCCTAAAAAACGGGTGCATTCAATGTTCAAAAACTCGGTTATAAATTATAATTATTCAGGTCGCCAAGTATCTGAATTAAAGTTAAAACCTTACCCTACAAGACAATAAAGAGTATTTTAATATTCGTTCTTTTGAAGCTATTTTTAAGTTGGTTAGCCAAGTTTTTGATGGGGAAGTTACTAAATTATGTACACATTTAAGAATATTTTTAATGTACGTTTTTGCTAAAACGTAACTTCCTTCTTCTTTTCCTATTTTTCTACTGTAAAATTGTTTTCTTCAAAGGTATAACGAATTTGCAAGTTTTCTAAAAGATGACCATTGTGGTAGGGCCAATTTAGAAAATGTTCAAGGCATTATACTACATTTCTAGTGATGCAAGAAAATATATTATCGAGGACATAATGATTTGTTGGCAGTCATCCACAGAGAATAAACGTGTACATTGGAAATAGCAACAGCTATTGCAAGATTATATTTAACTTTGCAATGTCATCGAATAGATTTATCTTGGAGGCGTTTCTTATGAAATCATAATGAAAATACACACAGATGCACATGCTTAATTTAATTAACAAAGGAAGGAAGTATTAATTAAATCGTGAGGTTGGTCTTTAAGACTTAATTGGTAGTGCTTAATAAACTTGATTTCATCATTGGTAGAGAGCTGTAATTGCTGTACTGGGTGTAGCAAAGCCGATAATGCCAAAGTATTTTCAATGACTACAGTCACTGAGCTATTACGATGTTCATTTATTTTCACTAGACTGCCAGACAGACAGAAATGGATGAGATTTTTTTTCGTTACGTACATGTCATGTGATATACAAATAATATAATATTTCATTTTGGTGATTACACTACTTCCTCGCCAGTGGCAGTGCTTTCTCACATGTTGAATAATACCAACTTTTTCCTGATCAGTTGACGAAAATACCTCTGAAAAAAACAACACATATTATTATTGTTTGATCTACTTCTTAAATTCCTGTTAGTCAGTCACTGTCTTTGTGTGTCCAATTCACATAGAAAGTCAAACAGTACATCACTGGTTTTTTACAAAAAAATAGTATCAATATCATAAGGCCAGTTTGATTCTACTTAAAAACTAAGCCAATCTCTGCTGATGAGTTTGAGAGAAAACTAGTTTTGACTCCCTCTTTGACGAGTGGATCTGGATGTTATCACTGCTTGGGGACGCAACAATCTGGTCCCGTTACTGATTCCAAAGCACAGTATTTTACCTTGACTAACATGGAGCGAACTAGGGTTCATTTGTTTTCGATGGATGGTTGAGTTCTCCTAAAAAGCCATTTATTTCGACTGGTACATCCAGAACTGGGTCGTACGACTGCTCCTTTGTTCCTAAGGTGTAGAGATGGTGGATCAATCTGCCTGAGTAGGCTTTGATCAGATTAACAAATCTGAACAAGCTCTTATAGCAATTTCGTGTCCTCGAGTTTAGTCCTCTGCCTACCTGGCTGTGCCAGTACAAAAAAAAAGTATAATTTTTCAATTTCCTGCGTGCTGAAGATGCAGTTAAATTTTCTGACAATATTTGTAACACCATGTACAAACTCTAATATTAATGTAGCAAAGGGTCATACACTATTCACACATATGCGTGCCAGATGTTAGTATCAATAAATACACATTTGTATTTATTCACTTATCCGCATATAATTGTAGACAGTTGCAGGTCTTAAAAATGAGTAATTAAAGTTTGAATGATACTTAAAAGCTAGGAATACATTACGTGATTAGCAACTTTTCATAAACCCAGGTCAAAGTTGTTATAACAATCTACTAAAGCCATGATAGGAAATATAGTATGTACTATTTTTATGGTAATAATGATTCAAGAATGATTTCAGTTTCGTGCTCATGATGATATGATGTAAAAACTAGGAGAATTTTGTGGGATGAATAATCGTTTATAAAAATGTGGGAACAACACGTAGGAATTGAGAAGACACGTACAAGAGGAATCTGTCATTGTTGACTTTTCCTGTTTTTACCTATTGTAGCTGTACCTCTACTTTTTTCTTATGAGATTACTTGTAATAGTAGCAGTATGACTCCTAATAGGAAGTACTACTGGCCTAACCAAGGAAAATTTAGTTTTGTATTCAAAATCTATATATGCTAAATAGGTGACTCAGTGCAAAGTATTGCTTCTAGCCACCTTATACGTAGAAATCTTGGAAAGTTCCTGGTGGATTTAGTGCAATGTATTTCTTAGCTTTTAACTAATATTGCTGTATAATTGATTACTTTTGTTTTTCTTAGCCGACTCAACAAAAAAGGAGCCAGTAAGTTATTTATCGTGCCTTGATGTTTGTCTTGTTTCAAGCACTTCACACCCATTGATTGTTTGCACCACTGTCAGAATCATTGTCTATGTTTTGAGTTTAGTTGTTTAGGTACTTTTCTCTGTAGAGAAAGCAGCATTTTTTTTTTAGAAAGTTACACGTTGTGGAGGCTATGTGGATTGTGTGTAATGCCATTGCATTGATCATTTGTTGTGATGTTTTGCGCTTTGGTGATGATTTTTACTATTTTGTTATTTTTTGTCGTAGAACCTGGAAGTGCTCCAAGAAATGTACAAGTCAGGCCACTCAGTTCCAGCACTATGGTTATCCAGTGGGATGAGCCAGAAACTCCCAATGGACAAGTTACTGTGAGTATATTTACTAGTTCGAATGGACAGAGAAAAGAACAAAATATTGCATAATTTAAAGAAGTAAAACATACATGCTCCTCTGCAGTTTCTAAATGCGATTGAAACCTGACTGACTCCATAATTTGAAGTACTGATTTCAAATAGGACCATGAAGTTGAAAATGGGTCGCTCCATCCAAAATATAAAAATATGCTGCCATTTTTTTAAATGTTCTTTTAGCTTCAAGATATAGGGCTTTGCTAATCAAAATTTTCATTTCCATTCTGCGCCTGCAAGCAATTTTGAAAAATCAATGATTTTTCATTTTTTGCAGTCGATGATTGGTTAACTCTTGATGTGCCCATTGGCCAGGAATTTTAACGAATTTTTTTATATATATTTTAGGGTTACAAGGTGTACTATACAACCAATGCCCAACAACCGATGTCTCAATGGGAATCTCAGGTGGTTGACAATAATTTATTGACAACAATTAGTGAACTGACACCACATACAATATACACAATACGAGTTCAAGCCCATACATCTGTCGGGCCAGGTCCTCTCAGTGCTCCTGTACACGTCAAAACACAACAAGGTAAGGAACATTTTATTTAATGCACTGTTATCACTAAAGAAACTCGTCTTCACAATTTCCACTTGAGTTGCATTTTCAACAAAAGCAATTGCTGTCTCATAAGCGTAGTAAACAGGATCTTCGTGTGAGGTACCCCACACGAGGCACTGTGTCTATATATTTTAGTTGTTACGGTACCAGGGAAAATACGAGTATCAGGGATATCCGATAGTGCCAAGTCAAGTGGTCTTACAGCGGGACCATTACGTAATTGCAAAAATATCTTAAGGAGAGCGGTATACGATTTTTCGGATGAGCGCAACTTGAGAGATGGATGCCGGCGGTATTTCATCCCGCATCTCCTGCATTCCAAGTCCATCTCTGCCGGTGAGCTGGAAAGAAGAAGGCTAGCAGCGACTTCCTCTGACGAGAAACCTGAAGGTTATCACTACTTGGCGACGCAACAATCTTGTACAGTTTAATGCTTCCAAAACACTACTGTACCTTGACGAACAAAAAGCGTCCTTGCGCTCATCTGGCTTGGATGGATGGTCGAGTTCTCCAAAGAGTCCAGATTACCAAGGACTTGACCTGCACGAACACATATCTCGTCAGCTGCTATTTCCTTAGGGCTGAGAAGTACTTTTCTCCACATGACTTCCTCACTCTGCGCAAGGCCCAGATGAGACCTAGCCTCGAGTATTGCTCACATGTTTGGGGTGCTGCCGATCTGAGTACACTATAAATGCTCTAAAAGAGTCTCGGGACCCTTGCGCACCGGCGGGCCATCGGCGATCATGCTCTCTTGTACCGCTATACCAATTGTCTTTGCTCCTCAGAGCTCTTGTCCATGATGCCGCCGTACGATATGCCTGCCAGACAGACCCACCTGACAGACTCACCTGACTTCCGCCTCCCAACCTAACCGTGTCGGAATTCGTACATCCAGAATTGGCCGATACGACCGCTTCTTTGTCCCTAGGGTGTTGACATTGTGGAACATTCTACAAAAGAAGTTTTTTCCCAGTTCTACTAACCTTAGGCAGTCCAAAAACAGCTGCATTTGTGCTCCAACTGGTGGTGTTCAAGTGAAACAACAGGATTGTAAGGTGTCTCCACTTGCTTTCTAACTGTACCATTCCAGCTCGTGGACACACACCACGGTACCACCGTGCGAGAACAGTAACCTGTATACGATTTTTTGGATGAGCGCATCTCCAACAGCGGGTATGTTTAGTAAACAGCTTGAGATATAGAAAAAAGATCCCGGGCGGGGTTCGAACCCGCGTCTCTTCCATCCCGTGGAGTCAACGTAACCAATTGGTCTACAGCACCAGCTGCTAACCAACTTTTAGGCTCTACAACCTTACCAACGCGGTGCCGTGTGGTGCGGATAGATTATTATACTACCTGAGGAGGATATGAAAGAGTACGTGAACTGTGTATATTGCAATGAAGAGGAGGATATCCCTAATCATCTAATAATTGATGCTCGGCGAGAGACTCACTGCTGACGATTTTGCCACGCAACAAGGTGCAGGAGGACAAAAATAAGAACCAACAGTAGGTTCCTACTTGCTCAGTTGTACCGGATGACCCAAAAATAAAGGGCATCGACTATATCTCAGCAACAGCTTAACTTAGAACCATCCGTTAAAAAATTGTGGCTACGGGAAATTGCTGGAAATTGTTTTCAACTTCCTAAAATGCCCGATCTTGTCAAATTAGTTCACTTCGTAGCCACTAGATAGCGTTTTATGGATGAGTCAGTTTGTTATTTTTTCCAAAAATTTCAATTACAGCGGTATACTTTTTTAGTATTGCTCAATATGCGTAAATTGCGATGTTCATGTACTACTGGATAAAAACAAAAATTCAATATTTTAGGTTATTCGTTTGTTTCTGACATGCTAAATTTTATTGTTACGCTTTTTTGAACGAAGTAGTCGCTATAATATTACAATTATATGTATAACACAATTTTCACCCTTAAAAGATCTAAATGAGACAAGTTTGTAAAAAGCCCAGTATTTCCTGAATCCTTCATCTTCCAAGCCAACTGTGTTAAATTATGAGGAATTATTCAAGTATGTTTTTTTTTCAAATATCAGGTGACATATATATATATACATGTCTTTATCAATTTGTTGAGGTTTTTCTTCATCATATAACCTGTTTTTCTTTCTGTTATCTAATTTTCATAATCCAATAGGTTAACTCCCCATTCAGCCTCACACAGAGGACTAGAGGCTTTGAAGCCGGTGATGACAATGCTGCTTACACCCCTGACAAACACTGCTTTTATTACAGGAATGTTAATTTACAATTAATGAAAATATTTGAAATGAGATTCTCTTTTCATCTGTCTTTTTCGCGATAATTTAATCAGGATGTAAGCAAACAAAAATCGCTCTGCCCGACATGTTCGTTTTGCACGGGTTTTCCCCAATGTCCTAGTAATAGCAACAAGCAGATAGGAACAACCTTATCAAATGTTAAAAAAGATTCAGAACAATACATTTGGTGAAGATAACATATCCACCTTTACAATGTTGTATACTTACAACCTGAGCAGTAGCTGATGAGTTGACCTTAGATAAATATTTTTTAATAAACATACTTGATTTTCAAAATAACACCCACTTCTCACGTAAATTGACGATTTAAATGTGTATAGATTTCCTAGTAATTGAAAAAATGGATACATTTTATGTTTTCTATTCATATTTGAATTTTTATTTTTATCCAGTAGAACTTGAAAGTAGTAATTAAAGGATATTTTTCATTATATCGTCATAACGAATAAAGATGTGTGTCTGTGGTTTCCACCATTTCATATGATTTTTTATGCTCTTTCCGAGCAATATTGAAAGAATATACCGCCGTTGTATTTGAAGTTTTCGAAGAAATTAAAAAAAAGTGACACGTCCATGAAACGCCATCTAGTGGTAATAAAGTGAGTTAATTAAACCAGATTGAGTCTTGAGAAGGAGCGCTGGCGCAAGCTCTCTCGAATGTTACCAAGATCGTGAAAATCGGTGTAGCCAAACTGAAGTTATATTACATTCACTCAAATGAAATTCAACCCTTCCCCCATCCTAAACGAAACAAAAGATGGAAAAATGACATTAGGAAGAAGTTCGAAAATTGAGCAACCATCATAATAGAGCTATTAAATCACTGCGTTAAATACGTATTTTTGCAAAATACTGGCGTTTGGATTTTTGAAATTGAATATACGCCCCCTAACCGCCATTTCAGGAGGCTGAAAATAATTTGCAGCGATTTCCCTTTTACACCGGTGAGTAGATGAACAATACATTTGCTATTCAAGCCTAGCGCTGCGCTACCCACTATGAAGAAATGCTGCAAGCATTGCCGACCGAGAGGTTTTGGTGAGTACGCCGCCTTTGGAGAATCTTACACTTCGGGTAAGAGACGCAGACATGACAATACTGAGTTTTTATGCCTGAGAATGGCTATTAAAGCTTTCCGCTTTCCAATGAAAGTGTCTTTCAGTGAGAACGGTTTTTTACTCTATTAATAAATCATCTATGTATTCCGTTTTTGGTTTCAACCAATTTAAAACACATTTTCATTCCATAACAACCGACTTTCCAGGCGTACCTAGCCAGCCTAGCAACCTGAGAGCGACAGACATTGGCGAGGGCACAGTCACCTTACAATGGAGCAAACCAACTCACTCCGGCGAAAACATAGTCAGTTACGAACTGTATTGGAACGACACGTACGCTAAAGACAAGCACCATCTGCGCATCCCAATTTCGGAGTCGTACACCTTGACGGGGCTGTATCCGAACACCCTGTATTACGTATGGTTAGCTGCTAGGTCGCAGAGAGGAGAAGGAGCCACCACGCCTCCAATACCAGTGAGGACGAAACAGTATGGTAAGGATGCAGTGACGAGGTACCATTGGTTTGGTGCCAATAGGGAGAAATAGAAAGGTTTCAGCCTAGGTGGTAGAGCTATGGTGTGCTTTGAGAAATATGATTCAGAACGAAAGGGGGTAGATTCAGAAACAAGTGATTTTTCTAAAAAGAAGTTTCACTTCTAAGCTTGTGTGTTTCATGAACGAATTAAGCTGTATTTGCAGTTTTGGAAGGATGAAAATGAAAAATGTAGTCCTCGTTAAGTAAACTATGCTCTATCACCTAGACAGCTAAAGCACTGAACTGCGCACTTGGAATTTGTCAAAAATATACCAGTTTTGTGTTCTATAAGGTCACCAATAAAAAAAGAAGCCAGTAGCATATGAATACCAAAGAAATCAGTCAACTATTGGACGCATTGCAATGCAAAATAACTTTTCTCTCCCCAGGTGAATAATGTTACAATAATAATAGTACGAGAGCCATTTTTAAAATAAGAACGGTTGCGCATCGTGCCCGTGAACCCTGCCACGAGACGTCCGTTCAATCTCAGACGCTCGTGGCCAGACGTGTAGTTATACTGCTTTGTTTTTCGCCATGTCACTCACTAAACCCGCCAGTTATGAAGTGCGCTCAGTAATTCGATATTTAAACACAAAAAAAAAAATTAATTTTAATAATAATAATAGCGGTGATGTGCAGTTACAAATAAATGTACATTGAGCAAAAAAATTTCGATAAAATAATAAATACAATTCGCTGCAAAATGGACCAGTAAGCAGCCTGAGACTGATGAAAGTACTGGCCCAGGGATACCACAAAACAGGCAACACAAATTTAGTTATTTAAGGACAGTATAACAACAGATAAACAAGAAATTTCAACATATACAGAAATATATGTAAAACGTTACAATATTGCAACAAAGTAACTTGATAATAAAGAGACTAGAAACAAACCTTCAATATCAAACTAATCTTCATATAAGAAGGAACATAGAAAAACCCAAATAACTGTGGTCCTAAATGAAGTTTTCTAAAATTTCTTTTGTAAGGTGATACTGGCATGGACTCAAGGTCCATGGTGACATGGTGACGTGGTTGGAAAATAAGGCCTCTGAACCGGACATTGATATTGACTCCATTCCAAGACGGCTCTTACTTAAAAATTGGCCCTCGTACATTGCATAAAGGCATTAGAGAGGCGCCAAAAAGGAATTCAAGATCCTATCGTCATCTATGAGGCAGTATCAAAACGAAAACACTCTTTTCAAATTGAATTTCTACATTCACTTTTGTGTTCTGCTAATGTCTCATAGGTGGCGCTAGTATCTCTCAGATTCAGATTCAGTTACTTGTAAAAAATTATATTATGGTTAGTTTTTAGTGTTGGTCGATAACTTCGTTATAACGCGTGGTATCTAAACAAGTTAAATACAAAAACTATAGAATTAAAAAATATATTAATCTATACAGGGTAATTTATCACTACTCTGTTCTCCAAACATACATTTTTATGAATGGAGAGCCTTACATTTTATTACAGATTTGGATAGACCCTTTCAAACGAAACACTTTGAACTGCAGTTTTATTCTCAAATCGTTGAGATGTTGGACAAACTATCAAAAAAAAAAACTCAACTCGCTTCTCTGCAACTGTTAAAAAGAGTCCTAAATTTTTCTTCAGACACATTTTATGATTTCATGTTTTCTCTATCTACTTACTTTTTTCAGTTATTTGAATAATTTATGTATAAATCGTGTATACAGGATGGTCAAGAACGCAAAATAAACGATTTCTTAACGTTTTCAAATGGAACGCCCTGTATATTTTCACAATGTCTGATTCCCCTTTTCAAGAACTTTGTATTCAAGGTTTATGGAGGTTTGTACGACTGGTTCTTAAGTTACAACTGACCTTTATTTTCATTATAAATTAATTCTACCCAAATTTATATAAAAAAATGGAAATCAAGATGTCCATATGTTTGCAGTAACTCAAAAGTCAGTGGTACAAACTCCCATAGATCTTATAAAAAAAAGCTTGTGACGATGACTGTCAAAGAATGTGAAAAATTTGAATCAGGGCTGTTCTATTTGAACATTTTGAGAAATAATTCATTTTGCGTTCTTGACCACTCTGTATAAACCATCCAAAAACTGAATAAAAACTAAGTAAATAGGCAAATAATATGGGATCATGAAATTTGTCCGACGATAAATTGGTCTCTAGCTATAACAGTTGCGGAGGTACGAGTGTCTTTTTGTTGATAGATCCGATATCTCAACAATTTGAAATTAAAATTATTTGGTATGTTATATCAATATCTGTTATAAAATGTAGGGTTTTCCAATGAAAAAGGTATGTTTGGATCGCCACGTAGTAACGAATCACCCTGTAGTGGTGAAAATATTTTCTAACATTATGATGTTGGCTACAGTTTTTGTATTTAACTTTGTTAGATTCCTTGCGTAATAACGGAGCTATCCAGCTTACACTAAAAACGCATCCGGTATACATGGAGAAGGCCAATAACTATGTAGTTTGCTACCAGGTTATGTAATATATTATTATGGTCTGTTAATGTTTTTTTCGACTAATTTTCCAAGTTACCTTTTCAGTGTTAATATTTTTTTATTCATTATGATACTAACACACGTTTGGAAAGGTGTAAATGCATTTTGCCTTGCAGGTATCCAAAAATAATGTTATTTTATTAGAAATCCGATCTGGATTTTTTAAAAATAAAGTATCTCCATTTATAGAACTATCACAGAAAAGCGGAATATTTTCTGTATTCTTTTTATCTTTAATAATAAAGTGAAACATTTTCGGATTATTGCACTGCTTCAGAATAATTGATTTAATTTTCAAGTGCGATGCATTTACACTGTTCAAAATCATCCATTATAAAAATATAAAAAATATATATACCTCTCATATAATATCATGACACAAATTTTGGAGTTATCCATATAAATGAAGTGAAGTGTGTAAGTTTTTGAACTAACCGTTTTTATTCTAGAGTGTGTGCAGAGTGTGTGAATTTATATTAATGTATCTTTTTTATTATTAAAATGCATTTTCTGCATGTGACAGTTAGTTGTCGGTGGATATTAATTTGTTTATTATTTTTTTCTTTATTTATAATCGGCACTTTTGCACAAGTATTTTGATGTTGATATGTGAGAAATGCTACTATGGTTAATTCAATTATACCGGGTGTTTCAAATTCGACTCGAATTTTTTAAACGCTAAAAGATGAGTCGGTGAATGGCTTGCTCATTTAGGTAACTAAGAAAATGGTACTAAAAAAGATTTGCAATTCAGTTTTCCCGGAGATAGTTGAAAAAAAGGGAATCTTCCCAAATTCTGTTTTATTTTTATCTGCCTATGTGAGTTGGGAATTCAAAATAAATTGCCCACTACGGTCCCTTCTTTCAACTGCTTGTTTAGAGCAGTATTCTAAATCCTTATTTTCATCTGATTATTTCATGATTTGTATAGAGACGACTTAAGAACAAAGTCTATTTTTTTCGTCAAGAATTAATGATAATGTTTATTGTAGCATTTATACAAAACAAAGATAAATATAAAAAAAAACACACTCCAAAAGACTAAGGATTGGCATTGCCATTTTTCAGTCGCCCACATCAATTACAAAGATAATCAGCAAGTTAAAATTATTTTATTTAGAGTCATGAGCTTCAACTTATTTTATCTCTAGTTTTACATAGAGTATAGCAATGTTATAAAATTGAGGTGCAAATGTCAATAAAGTACAATAGTAAAGCTAGTTAATAATCTGCAGCTTCCAAAAACTAGTAACTGCAGAAGCACCTTAAATTTCTTTTTAAAGTTATGACTGGAAGTAATTTGGAAAAGTTCTAAATATGTAATAAACAAACATGGTGTTGTGTAAGTGACAGATTTTTTAAATTTAGATGTAACATGACCTGGAATATCATAATCATCGATTCTTACAAAAACGTGGTGAACAGAGGATTTCTTGTCTAAAAGACTGTACAGATTGTAGAGATTTATATCTTAAAACTTTATACAATGAAGCACCATTAAAAAAGCAAACGGTACTTATATTTTAAGATATCTTCTCTCACGTAGTAACCAGTGATGTGCTCTTGTCTAATATCGGTAGAGCTCTGAAATTGTATGTCAAAATTACACTTTTATAGTACAATTGAGCAGGTGATTATTTTTATTCTTATAACTTTCCCTCTCAAAAATCTTTGATTTTTTTAAAGAGAGAAAATACCGAGAAAGGTAGTAATCACCCGTTCAATTCTTCCATAAAAGTGGAATATTCACATACAATTTTAGAGCTGTACCATTACTTGTTAACAAGTTACAACTGAAGAAAAAATCCACAAAAACTGCCAAAAAAGAAAGTGGTAACATTGTGTCAATCATCTATACGCACACCATGATACTAGTAGATTAAAAATATTAAGAATACTCCTCCAGGCAGACTGTTGAAAAAACAGGGAGGTGCGACGTTAACATTGCCTCTTTTTCTCCTTTACAATGTGGCATAATTAGAATTTCAATATTATGTGTTGTCTCTTGTCTTCTGATGGTAATTTACTTTAAAATTCAACCTAAAATTAAGTCAAGGAAAACAACAATGGTTTTGGGAAACTAGCGGTATTTGTCTTAAACATAAGTGGTACTTCTCACAGCACAGTTCAACAAAAGAGCACCTTTCTTTTCAATTTTTCTCTGTCTGTCGATGATAATGCACAGTATGTTTCACGTGTGCAACCAGTAGTATTCACGTTTAATATTCTACACGTTTTAATATCCACTTGAAAAAGTAAAGTTAGGCTATACAGTACCTGTCAAGCTTGGCTTATTTTCACCGATACACACCGGACGATTTTGTAAGTTTTACTATGTAGAAAAGGTAGGGTTTTGTAATAATTCTATGACAAAATGTGCCACCTTATAGATGTTGTTCAGTCCTTTTGAAGGCTCATCAGTGCAATTTATGGTACTAAATGTGCAATTTCTGTTATCTTTTTCTTTATGTGCAGGGTGATCGAATAATAAAAAATAGATGGTGTACCGGAAACTTCTGTCCGTTTTTAGGTTGAAAAAATATTCTTTTTCATATCTTGGATAAACATCATTGAATAATATAATGTTCATTATTATTTATCACATCTTGCCAATTTGAGCCATTTAGATACCATTTTTCCTTTTGAATATGTGTCCTTAGAAAAAAAATTTGTAACAAATAGGTGTTGGACTTTGCGATTTGTCGTACAAGGATGCAGTCCCTGTCGAAAATTGTTGATATTGAAACGGCCAGTATTTTTCGGTAAATTCAATAAGGACATACAACAAAATGAAAAAAAAAATGGTGCCGTAGAAGCAACAACTGATTTAAAATATGTCTTTCATTTTCCGCTAGTAACTCCAGTTTTCTAGATAATAAGCGAGTTAATGTTCGAAAAAGTGCAAAAAAATACGAAAATTTTAATGTTGCTGAAGTTCCTAAATATCCTTTAAACCCATTCACTTTATCTATTAACAAAATCCCAAAGCATTTCAGGGGTATTGTTATTGTAAACCTTTGTTTTATAATTCCGTATAATTGACTTATCAAGTTGATGTTTACCCATTTAATAAACATCACTGACATGACAAGTCAGTTATAAGTAATTAGAAAAAAAAGGTTTGTGATAAGAGTATCTTCTGAAATGGTTTGAGATTTTGTTAATAGATGTTTGAAGGAGGAATGTTATATGTCTGTCCGCCAAGCCATTGCCCCTCGATGACTTGGAAAGTACTGTTTGGATTTGCATCCAATTTTCACAGAAAGTTACTAGTATCCTAGGGACTGAAAAGCGTTGTAGTTATGGAAAATCGGTCTAACGGCAGCGAAGAAAAAGACCAAAAACAAAAAAAAATCGCTCGTCGTTTCAGAGGATACTGATCGTTTTTGAAATAATTTTTAGGAGTTTAAGATCAGGGTGTGGGGATGTTGTATCTCAATTCGTTGATTTATATGGTCCCAACCCCGGTGATTCTACTCACCTATTAGTCATATTGAATTCACCTCAGGTTTCCCCGTACATTTGTAGATGATGGAGAAATGTTTTCTATACGCATGTCCCTCTACAAACTGGGCTTATCGCCCGGCGTAGCGACCTCTATGATTGTTTTGCTCGTACTGCGGCGGTGCTTCAATGGGTGCCGCCGCGTCGGATGATATGGAAAGGGGTAACGTAGCCAGCTGGATGGTAACTACCGGTATGGCAAGGAAATTGTATGGGCTTGTTCGACTGACTTGATTCATTTAATTTCTATAATGTACTTGTTCGTAACAACTTTTTTCTCAGAGGTTTTAACGTTTGCTTAATCCTTTATGAACTGATGGCATTGCGTGGGAAGTACAGAGTCAACGTTCTAGACTCCATTTTCTCATATTGTTTTTCGGGATCGAAAATGGCTTATTTCGCACTAATCCAAATACTAAATTGCTCATATCTCGAAAACTAGAACAGCTAGGAAAAAGACGTTTTTGAAACCAGCGCACCAGAAATACTCAAATTCAGTTCTTACTTCTCCGGCACGAAAAATGGCTGTTTGATATAGGAGAAAATAAATTGACGTGATCTTCAATCGTCATCAGGTGAATTGGCGAACATGCTCGTTTCTTGAACGTGTATACGTGTGATGGTGTGGTTGTAACATGTCCCGTGTTCCAGTTGGTTATAGCAGCGGTAAGTACCGCCTTCTCAAAAGCCTTTGGCTCTATTACTCATAATGCTCTTATTTGTAAGTTACAACAAACGCACAACCCTAACAATGTTATCAAGATTATAGAACTATTTGCTCATCCAAAAAATACTCGACAAAAACAATCATGTCAAAACAAAAATATACCACCAACGCCACAGAGTACCATCGGGATCTATCTTAGGACCCAACCTGTGGAACCTATACGCTGCTGATCTGCCGGTAGAAAACACTGCAGGCCAAACGATGTCACAATAGGCAAACAGCAAAATACAGCCATCACGAGAGCAAAGTGGACAGTGGAAGAAATTTTTGAATACTATGATCGGAGGCGGCTTGCTTGTAGAAAGCAGAAAACCGAGTGTATTGAATTTGGACGAGCACGAACGTACCCTAAACAGATCAAGTTAGGCGGGAATGGGAAGAGAACAGTCGTGACCCCTGTACACGAACAAATACGATACCTTGGGCTCAATCTTAATAAAACAGTAAGTGCGGACGGCCTCATTAAAGAAAGAATCCTCAAGGCGAACTGAGCAGCTTATGCTGTATCTCCAATTATTGGCTTCAACTCGCATGTTTCTATAGAAGTGAAATTGGAAATGAAAGCATGCATCTACCCGGTACTAACATAAGTAAAAGTGGCATTCGCAAATTAAAAAGTTACGAAGATACATAAACCGGCTGGGCAGTTCCCTTACTGCACCCCAGATGACAAACTTTGGAAGATGCTACAACAGGAATGTGTGGCAACAGGCCTGGTTCAGGCGTATAAGAAATTTCTTAAAAACACCGAGGAAGACAAATCAATGAAGCCGATTTTGACAAAAGTAGAGCATCCAATCAGCCAGCTAAGCCAGCGATGTCAAATCCAGCTTCCACAATTCAAGCGTCCTATGCACTGTATCTCATAATGGTAATAATACTTTGTAAAAGGGTTTTCCCGTACTATCCTCTTCGTATTTCACCCGTTTCCTGAAGAGTACATATTTTGAATGTATACAGAAGCAAAATTTTTCATTGTTTATGTATAAGCCAAAGGCATAATATATAACGTAATCTGTATAAAATGAAGGCTTCAAATTGAGTTGTTCCAGTTGTTTGATGTTTCTTACAATTGGCTGCGATAGTAGTTGGTAGGTTTCAGAAGCTTTTTGTTTCTCGCAATAGGTACCACCAGTATGGTAACTGATTCTAAGGAACATCAAACAACTACAACTCAACCAACCAGAACGAGGGGCACGTTGTCAAACGGTATAAATAGTCAAGAAAGGAGCATGTTTGCCAGTTCACCTGATGACGCTTGAAGATCGCATCAACCGAAACGTCATGAATCAAAAAACCTTATAGACAATGTAAGTCCGAGAAACAACATCTCAATTATCCACATTCTTATCACATTTGAAGCAACAGAAAATAAGTTCTTGTCCCGTGTGTATCGCGTGCGGTATTGCTAACATTGCTCTGGGCGTGCCCGGCCTGGTGCCCCTTTTAGTCCCGGGCGCTCCCCCGGCCAACGTGATCGGCGAGGCGGTAAGTCCGACCGCCATCCGGGTCACGTGGGACCCGCCTCCTGCGAATCGCAGCAACGGGCGCATCGTCTACTACAAACTGCAGTACGTCGAGGCAGACAAGTCGGACAGCGAAGCGTCGGTGGTCAAACTGAACGACACCAAGTTCGTTTTGGACGAGCTGAAGAGGTGGACCACATATAGGATATGGGCACTAGCCGGTACTTCGGTCGGAGACGGACCTAGTTCCTATCCGATCACGGTGCGAACGCACGAAGACGGTACGTTTTCAAGTACTATATGTACTATGTTGTCAGTATAAGGTTAAGAGGGTGGTGGAAGGTGGTGACTATGGGGTTTTGGTGGTAGGTGCAAGGATGTTGTAGGAGAGAGATGTACTCGTTTGCCATTTTGTCTGTATTATTTAAACAAGAATAAGCACATAATTCAAAATATTTGTTATCCTTTAGACATGAGATATAAAGGAGATTTCAAATTCGACCCTCACCATTGGGATCTTGGAAACTGTAAGAGATCCGAAGACGCTTTAATGGGGGCAAAGTTGGGTATTTAAGTAACCAACAAAATGTCACTTAGAAAGTTTCGAAATCGAAGTACTTCCTTAGAGAGACGGAAAAAAGAAATTTCCCAGAATCATTTTCATTTTTTCTGACTTTATTTCTAGTGAAATTTCAAAATAAATTGCACATTAACATCGCCACTTTTTCTCCTCTACAAGATGGCATAATTAGAATTTCAATATGATGTCTCATATCTTGTCCTCCAACATCAACTTATATTTTTTCCTATAGACCCCATAGTGGATTTTTGCACAGAGGAATGTAGTTTACATTTTGATTCCAAATGTAATACATTGACATAGCCAAATATTAGTTATTCCAGAAAAACAAAAGTTCTTGGGTAGGCCTTGGAATTATCGGATTTAATTTGTTTCATACAGAACTCCAATTGAACATAGCAACATTCTGGAAGACTAAGCAGAGAAATAATTTGAGCAATGAACAATGTTCAGAGGAGTCAGGCTTTCTCTACAAAAGAACGGACATTTTGTATATCTGCTATGGTTTACCTCTGCTTAGTTATGATTATTGTTGCTATAACCATCAATAAAATTTTCATTTTGTGTTCAGGTTTCACCGTACCTTTCTATTCAATTAAAATTTTCATCGAACAACAAACCCATGGCCAACTAAGGAAACACATCACTGAATTTAGGACTGAAAAGTCCATTTGAATGTACAACATTCCATACGTCCATACGAAAAAACAAAATTGATGATATATATATACATTCTTGGAATCAGAATGAAAAACTCTATTCATCTGTGCAAAAATCCAATACAACGTCCATAATAAATAATAAAGTTGATGTTGGAGGGCAAGAGACGAAACGTCATATTGAAATTCTGGTTATGTATTCTTGTAGAGTAGAAAAAGTAGCAATGTTCATGTGCAATTTGTTTTGAAATTCCACTGCCAATAAAGTCAGAAAAAAATTATAACGTTTTTGGGAAAATTCGGTTTTTTCCGTCTCTCTCCGGAAGTACTATGAATTTCGAAACTTTCTAAGCGGCATTTTGATGTTTATCTAAATACGCAACTTTGCCCCCAATTAAGCGACTTTGTATCTCTTACAGTTTCCGAGATCCCAATAGTGAGGGTCGAATTTGAAACACCACACAAGATTCGTCAACTTGCATATCTATGAAAAATAAAAATGTTTGAGACAATTAACAATCACAAAAAAACAAATTCTGAAATGGCATGGTAACATTTAGATACAAGGAATTCTTTCAACTTCGCTTTGGACCGATTGATATTCGAGCAGTCCTTAATATCCTTTTGTAGTCTATTAAATACCTTAGGTCCCAATATATCCGACGATTTCATACCAACCTTGTATTTAGCAAAAGCTACATTAAAATTATTAACCTGCCTGGATTTATAAAATCTATCTATTTAAAACTTATCTTTATTGTTAATAACATACACTTTCAGTATATATAAAAACAATGAGGGAATGTTTAACATTTTTTAGTCTTCTAAAAATATGTTTACAAGAATATAAACTATCAACTCCAACCAAACAACTAATTGCTCTTTTTCAACTCAGAAATACCTGCTGAGCATTAGCTGTCAAACCCCAGAAACAAAAAGCGTATCGTAATAATAAATAGAAACTAACTGACTCTCCAAAAGAACCGTTTTTGAATTTCAGTTTGCATATGTTTGGGAGTTTAATTTTGAGGCTAAACGCTCACAAATGTCCATTGTGTCAACATATAATCTCGGAAACTGTACTTGACTTTCAACAGATATTATTGAGCCATTTATATTATTGGTAAATGCTACTGTTTTTGAACATAATAAAATCTTACAAGTACTGTTTTTTTCCGGATTCAAAAACAGTTGGTTTCTGTCGAACTACAGATGTACATATATCTGCAAGTAATGTCCCACATTCCCTCCTTAACGAACTGTTGCACTGGTTTGATTCATCAAAAGAAGTATCAGTCGCATAAAGAGTGAATCTACCTTTAGCAGAACAATGCTCTAAATCCTTGATATATAGAGAGAATAACATTGGACCCAATATAGATCCCTGAGGTACGCATATGGTGATGGCAGTATTTTCAGGTTTTCTGACAAACATTTCTTAATTGAGATGATTAAATCCTTATCTTTAATGGCAAAAAAAAATCAGAAAAGTCAGTGACGAAGAAAATAATCTTCATTTCCCTTATTTAGTGGCCATAATTAAAAATGTTTGGTCGGTACATTTATTTACTCCGCAGATATAACTTTCTCAAGATTTTGAAATTATAACTTTAACATCATGTATTTCTGTAGAAGGTCATTTCAGAACCTATGTTCATATAAACATTTCCTATTGTATCTGGGTCTATTTTCAGCCTTAAAAATATTGTCTTTGTAGTTTTGGATCATCCCGCAATTTGAAAAGAGTTATATTGTATATCTTATATGACCAAAGCATCACTATTATATTTTGCTAAACTCTATAGATTCCAAAGTCGTTTGAAAATAATTCGAAAGTATCTCTCAACATTCTTACTAAACCAAGCGTATTCATGGGAGAATTTTTCCGACTTTATGTTCCTCATCACGTTTACCGTGTGCAAATTTGCTTAAACATTTTATAAACAATTTAAAAAAGTGTTTCTTTTTCCGGACAAATTTGTTTCAAGTTATTTGTATTATTTCAACCAAAAAGGTCCTTAGTAACTTCTCTCTAAAGTTGCTGGTTTTAAAGTCAGAATAACTATTATTTTTAAGGCTGCCGAGTATCTAAATTGATGTTCAAGCTTTCCCTTAAAATATTCCGAAAATACCCTATTCCGACTTGACGGTTTCAACTTTTGCATTCATGGCCGGAAAATATTTTGGAAAATTTCCACGATTTTAAAAACCCACGTAATTACCGAAGATTAGTTGACTCAACATGAAGCTTGTATAACCTAAAAAAGATCAAAATGGCGAACGTGAACCCATCTCTTGCAATATTCCAGTGACAGTGCGTTTGGATTACCACTTGATGCTTACGTTTTGTCCACAAGTCTTAACAGATTAGACCTCCCTATAGCTAAATAGGTTTCCATAATTTTTCCTTTAAATTTTTTGAATCTCGATATTGAAGGGTGGCCTTCGATAACTACTTGTTCATTATCACAGGTTTCTGTCCTATATCTAGAAGATAAATATTGGTTTCAGTATTTTCAGTCTTGCTACAATTCTTTTTAATAATAAATTTCTGATGTCCTCGTCAACTGTATCTTAATTGTAATTCATAATAGTATTTTTATAATCAACAGTGTTGTCTTTCATCAAGGAATCCATACTTTTCTTCGCAGCTTTGGAATGTTGTTTGACGGTTCGAAGTTTTTTTATGTATCCTAGGTGAAATATATCTTAAAAACCTTTATTTGGAGTTAAACTATCTGTCTGTATGGTATCCAAAATATTTGTAGGTGATCATTAATTTTTTCATTCATATTTCCCTTTGAATTTAACCAATCTTTAGAATGTTTCCTAAAAGTGTGTATCAAGTGGTAATGCAGAAAACTATGGGCATTTCTAGTGCTAAGTGGGGTGAAAATTGACTCATAAGGTGACAGATGGAGCTAAGAGAAAGTGTCAGTGATTACAATCGATCGGTTTTCTTGGATTTCTTGAGAGCATTTCAGAGACACAAAAAGATGAGTAAAGTTCAAATTATTATAATTTGAATGAAACAGATAGTATTTTTTGAATACCTGACTTTTTTTGTTGAAAAAGAAGATACTGATATTTTATTTTGACTAGTGACATTTTTGACTTCTAAAAAATCTGTTTCATTCATGATAAGTTCTTGGTAGTTTTGGAGTATTTTTCCTTAACCCCTTTTTTGAACCCTCTTATTTTTGTTTTTCATGAGCACAATTATGTGCATTCCTTGACTTTTTATTATTTCTCTACTTTTTGGTTAAGTATCTTCCTTTAACTTTTTCCTTAGTTCTCGTAGAACTTTTTGACATATCCGTAGAGATATGTGTGACTTAATCAGATTTTTTAACCATTGCAGCCGACCGAGGATGTGGATTTTTGAAAAAATGTATTTTTGTATTTTTACAGCATTTCCTCGATTTTTTTTGAGGAAATTTTTTGCACTGTATTTTGTTCTGAGACAATTTAGACATGTTTCCGAATCTTTTAAAACAAATAATCTACATGTTATGTTCAATAATTCTACCTATAGTTTGACTGTCTAGATGGTCTCAGAAATTTTTTTACCTCAACTTTTTTCTGTCTACAAAAGCGTTTGCAGGAGCAGCAAAAAGGTTTTTTAAACATTTTTTAAATGTTTTTCCGGTATTTTTTGAATATCATAGCTGTGTATTATATTTTATTTGTTGTTATTGTTTTAGCTACTCACGTCCACATGTAATGATTGCTTCGTTCGTTTTTCTTTTTCTTCACTTGCACTAAGTTGCATCGCAACGGCACATTTTTTGTTTATATTAAGTCACAATCGGCACTTTTTTCTATATATTTGATTTATTTTGAGCACCACATACTGGTATTTTAGAAATACACTACACCAAGCATGATGAAAACCTCACTTCCTTATACCTCAATTTTCAGAGATTTTACAGGAATTGATTTCCAATGGATGATTAGATTCAGGAGGTCTCAACAACCTGTTAGATCGAAATAAGACACCACATCTACTATACCGCCAGAATCGTTAGCATTTGGCGGTCACAGTGATTTAGGCACGATTGTACTGTTGATCCGCGGGAATACAAAAAAGTGTCTATTACAAGGTGGATTTATCTAATGGACATAGTCGATTTATTGTAAACTGTCTCTGAAATTAGAGAAAAAATGTACGACTTGTGTGAGATGGCGTCTAATTCCGATATTAAATCAAGAAAACGGTCATAAATCACCTGGTTTAGTTACAAAAACCTATTTTTTTTTATTTGAACCTGTGCACAACGTTTGAGGCTATGGGCACAAAATCCACCAATCGGAAACAGGTTTCGTAATTAGGGACCGTTCAAGTATTACATAAGCAGATTTCTTACAATTGCTAACCCCACTCCCATGCTTACGTAAACATTTTAGTGCATTTTACAATTTCAAGCAAGTATTGGCTTTCACTCACATTCTGAATATCATTTAATGTCTGGAAAATCAGGAAGATCTGGTTCGCCCGACCCAACATATTTTTCAGTAACATGATTACCATCAATCTCCATTGAACTCCATAACTAATACATTTCCTCCAAACTCGAAATTGGGTCTCTCTTAATGTTTATTAATAATTGTAACGCCACATTTATCCCAATCAGATCCAAAATGGTCATGAGGCAGTATCAAACTATTCCGTGCTCTACTTAGTTATACGCATTTCTACCAGGAGCATTTATAGCTAAAGTTCCCAAGGAGTAAGCATATCCATATTTGGGGAATGTCTGAGAATATGTGTTTCGCTTTCGAGCATACATATGCAGAGTTGCGATATGTGTACAAACCAAATGTTGAAGTAAATGAATAAGTATTACTGACCATCTAGAGTTTTCCATCCTACATTTTATCAAAAATAAGCAAAGCAAAAGACCCCTTCGCACCACCTTTAATGCTTACATAATACTTGAACAGTCCCTCATCTACCTAGTAAATACTGTAGCTAAATTAACAACAAATATAGATACTAAAGAAAATTGAAAAAAAATCAACAATTCTTTAGTAAACTTCCATTGTAAAAACTATTTTGCTTTCGGTATGAGCATAATGCGTAAAATAACGAAATGACCTGGTGGTCACATCTGGTAAGCATCAGTAAATGATGTTGTCTTATATGAGCAACGAGTTTATGTATTGTAGAAGTCAAATTAGGTCTTTGGTTGAAAATTGTGGTTAATAAATTCTGTGAAAAGAAATTACATGACATAATGCTCATTCTTCAACAAACATTGGGTACATATTCAACTCGCTTGGCTACCTTGCGAGGTAATCTTTCTTTGCAACTGTTTATATGCTTAGCGCGTCGTTAGAGCTAATTTTCCTGGCTTAATAGCTGGCGCCCTCTACTGGATGGTGCCTCGACTACGAAGTCTTTTGAATTCGATACTGCCGTGACGAGAAGCCTGCGCAAGCGCACGACACACCGGTATCAGATATGTACTATGTACTTAGAAATAAACCCCTCGTAAAACGAAGCACGAAATATTGTTTTCCCGGTAGACTCTCTGTTATATATATTAAATACAGTGTGTCCTGAAAGTTGGGACTTTCCTTTTCAGAAAACTACGTTTGTGTTAACAAAGGTAATGTGTGACGAAACAACAGCGAAAACGAAAAAAAAAATGTTAAAGTACTCGAAAAAAAGTATCCAAGAGAAATTTAAGTACAGCTCTTATCACTTGTAAGTACAAAGGACACTATAAAAGTCTTGCAGTACAGCTTTATTTATTGACTTACATTCAATACACTTCTCCATCCGCCAAAACCAGTCCTTAAACCAGCTGTAAATGGTCACACAGAATTGAATTAATTGCTGGTGCGGGAAGGTGTAAGGTCTCCTCTATATGTTGGTATGTCACTCTCCGGTCTACGTCAGGCATCTTCTTCAGTAATGCTTTTCTCTGTTACTGACGTTCGCGACCTTCCTTTCCTCTCAGCGTCCTCCACAGTGAAATTGCCCCTTTGGAATTCTCTGTACCACCTAAATATAGTCATGCGATGAGGACCATCATCCTTTAATGCAAGCGTCATTTCTTCTAAGCACTGGTCTGTGCTTAAACCACACGTTAAAGTTATGCCGTAAAATTGCTCTTATCTCACTACATGATCACGATGCCATAGTCCGCACTTGACACTGTCAATACGAATGAACAACTAATTCAACAAGCGTGCTGCTGGCGGCTACTATGCACATGTCTCAACATATGTAGTAACATGCAACCTCCTGCGTCCGATCAGTCATATTGCAAAACTTTTATAGCACCCTTTGTATTGTTTAAAGTTGTCTGCTATAGATTCAAATATACATGTACGAGTATGTGCTCGACGTAGCCAAGCATCGGTGTAGAATTTTTGGAATGAACTGCCTTTCCCAAATAAATGCAGCGGACTGCTAAATTCACACACGTAGTTCGTCAACCGGGTTGACCTCATAAACTAAAAATTTCATTTCACCTCGAAACTAAAAAAAAAAAAAATCAACCCCGATATTGCTGTATAGTTGTGCCTTTTTGTTTTGTTTTTAGAACCGATGTGAAAAAGCTTTGTTTACCAATGCGCCCGCGCTTTGATTGAGTACTAATGCGCAACGTACGTGTTCACGTTTCATCTGATCGACGTGCAGATGCGGATTAGGTTTTGTTTAAGTTTTATTGATTTAGCGCAGCCTAACATAATAACTACTTCGAGTATGGCGCAAATCCTTATTTTTGATTGATGGATTTTGTGCATTTAGCCGCAAATTTGTGTTCTAGCTCGAATGAAAAAATAGGTTGTTAAATCTGAACCAGGTATTTTTTGATTTAATATGGCAATTAGGGGCCCATCTTACACAAAATGTAGAATTTTTCTCTAGTTTGAGAGATGTTTCACAGGAAATCGACTAATCTCATTGGATTCATTGCCTCGAAAACGCCTTCTCATTGATGGAGTTTGTGCCCTGGATTAGTAAAATCGAACCTTACAGTTCCAACCGCTGGCTCGCATTAGTCGATTCTGGTGATGGGTGGCGCTTTGAGCTGTCTTACTTCGATAGATCTCAGGCCTCGCAAAGAAAATATGTAGTTGATATGCTTTCATTCGACCAAACCTAGACCATCTTGATGATTTACCATAAAGCACGAAGCAGCTGTTCATAGTTGGCTGTTATGAGACCTCTGCTCTTAAAAAATGTTATTTGTATTGTTTTCCTGCAGTTTGGTTTAATTATAGTGTTTCACAGCATATTTTTCATTCTGTAAAGTTCTCTGATGAACCTATTCCTTTGCAATCCCGAATTATCGCTACTGAGCACTTACAGTAGAGAACTGCGCACTTAATATGGCACATCTATATCACATTTTATTGTGTGTAATTTTTAACTTGCACCATTTTATGTGTGACTGAGTGACTGTGATATAAAACTAAAAGAATTAAAATTTCTTACACATTCGATATCAAACAAGCCATATATCGAAAAAATTATACATGTTGATGAAATACACAAAATTTGTGTATATAAATTGAAAGAGTTGGTTTACTATGTAGGGCAGTGTGTAAATATGAAAAAGCTTAGTTTTTAATCTGCGTGAGTTTTGTTGCTTATTGCTTCTGACATAAGCTTTTCCATATTTTTTATGATCAATATTTTGGTTCCAAGCCTAATATCATATTATGAATAGCATTTTGTTATACCTGCACATAATGCGCAATATATCTGATTGAACATTATGGCATATCAAAGCATATGGAAGAATCCTAACAAACTATTATTTTATGCAATATGATTCACTCTGTAAATACTATAAAGAATAGTTTAAAAAAAATTAATTTGCATTTGAATACCAATACTAACAAGAAGTAGTTTTCGTAGGAATTTTGATATTTGCAGTAACTATTTATATATTTTTTTCGAGCATGCCTGAAATATAAAATGAATGCATGTAATGGTAAAAGAACAATATTTCATCGATGAATTATAATGTAATAGGTAAAATTACAGCTTTACTGATTCTGTATAAAAAATGAAGAGCAATAAAAAACCGTATTGTATCAAACCCTCAATTTTTTACAAGCTGTCAGTTTTTTCTGTTCTTTTTGCTTTTGATATCAAAAGTTCTATGTCCGTACAATCATATTTCGGCAATCATTTGTACAAAACATGCTTAAGGCCTCAGCCCTGAAACCCCCGATTTTTAAAAAACTCACACTAGTTTTTTACCCATATCATCCTACAATATCTGACAAGTGATACAGATTTACACAATATTTGGTTTCAAAAAATTTTTTCAAACGAACTATGATTTTTTTTCAGATTTTGTTTTAAGTTGTAAGACCTTGAGAAACATTGAACTAATCGCTTTTTCAGTCTCGTCAGATTTGCAACATCTTCTGAGCAGGATATTTGAGATCCCAAAATTGTTGGATTCTGTAAGGTAAAGCTAAGTAATGCTACTATTATTATTGAAGACAAAATGAGACCGAAGAGATCACATAAGGCTACAATTTTTAACTGATATCTGAGTTATTTGCATAGGCGTCGCTTGTGAATTTTCTAAAAATCGCTAAAATTGTATACAATATCTTGCTAGAAATGCAAATTTCAAGGTCCAACCGGAATGTCACGCTCTTGAATGGATTTTGATTTCGAAACGTAACTTGGGTGGATCAAAACCAATTTGTTGTTTTTTGTTCCTTTGCGATCAAAATACTTTCCTTGTTTGAAGCGTGGGCAGATGCGATGCCAATATTTTTAGCCTCCTAATAAATATTTTGAATTCTGAAAGTTAAGAAGAGTATGAAAACAACGTTTATAGGTCTTTGTGAAATTCTTCACTACAAAAAACGGGACTCGGAAAAATACTAAATGTTCGCAGGAGGTTTAAAATGTTTTAGTTTCTTGCTTTATTCCTTTTCCGGCTACATTCGTTTCATGCTAGAAAAATTATAACAAATTCATCTTGTCTTTATCATTATAAATGTTTGCTATAATTGCAGTTTATAAACCATATAACTTATATATGTGAAGTTTTATTACATTATTCCCGAGTATTCTTCTCTAATTTCAATTTTTTAAACTCGGCATACGTAAATACGCTCAACACTTTGTATACAACATTATCATCAAAACTCTCTAATAAATTTGAATACTATAGTAGGCCATGACAATACGCTGTCTCTCTTTTTGCTGCAAATGTGTGCGTCTTGACAGGTTTTACTTCCCACGCCTACTGGCGGGGTAGTATTGTAATCGCGAAATGTTATATGACATGTACATCACGAAAAACCATGTCATTCATTTCAGTCGACCTGTCGGTCTATCTGCTAATCTTGTAAGCTATAACTTGAGAAGTGCCGCTCGAATTTCGATGAAATTTCTACACAATGTTACTACCATGCTAAGGACGCAAAAGCTTTGTAGTTTTTGAAAATCGCTCTAGTGGCGGCAGAGAAAAGCACCTAAAACGCAGAAAATAAAATTGCTCAAACTTCGGTTTTTGACATTACGAGACTTTAGAGGTAAAAAACTTGGGGGTGGGGGTTGTAAGGTGGTGGGGAGGGTTTATCTCAATGTTTGATGTTGGTACATTTATACACTCAATATTGGTAATTCTATGCACCTATTAAAAATATATCACACATAATAGATTCCTATGTACATTAGCCTTAAAAAGTGTGAAAAATATCCTCGGGAGACGGATCGCGTACTTATCAGTGCTGAACATATTCCATTATGGGGCGTTGCGTGGGAAGTGCAAAGTCAACCTACTTGTCGTCATTTTTTGGACTTGCGGTCCAATAATTCGCATGCATTTTGGGTTCGAGATTACGCGTAAATGATCGTATTGATTTCTGTGAAATGTTTTGTAAATAAAAAATAGTGGTGATTTTTGTATTGGTTTTGTGTATTAAATATACTGTTTCGTGAAATGATCCACTGACCGATTTCGTGCGACATGGTTTGTATTTTTCCCATGATTTTGTTTGATGTAGCATAATTGGCTAGACCAACGAAATGGATTCGTTTGATCCAAAGTTATTCGGTAAATTTAAAAAGCTTAATTATTCTACTCTTTATTAAATACAGTCTCTGAAATATGTGACCTGTGTCGCGTTTTCACATGACTATTGTTTCTTTTACGATTCAGTCGCATTATTGTATTAATCCCTATCAAATCACCAAAATTGTACACCAAAGCATGCTAAGTATACGAATTCTGAAGTACAACCGGATTCTCAGGTGGGGCTCGGTTCCTGCGAGTGCCCATATGCTTATTTGCAAGTAAGATGGAAATAACTACACGAAAGAACATCCAATATAGAGGATCAGTGACAACTTTTCTCATTTACTTTTTCATCATTTCAGTTTTTTTAACATTGAAATGTGGAGATATGAGTCTAGTCAGAAGCTTATGGTTTATTTTGCCAAATAGTTTACAGCTCGATATGGGAGATGATGACTTGTCAGTTTTTTGAGACCAAATATCGCTTCCTAGTGACCCTTGTTTTGTAGGTTTACTAAGTAAAAATGTAAATCATTTTTTGTTTCTTGTCCACTCACCAAATTTTCATAACTATCTTGCCGAGTATCATGGAATACCAGTATAACCTTTTTGCAGACCGTTTTTCGAATCAATACATGTGTGTGAGTATATGCATATTTTTTAAACGATTTTTGACCTCCAAGCATTTTTGTAGCGGAGACATTTTTTGTCGAATGTTTTTTTGAAAGAGGTATTACATTATTACAATTACTACTTTTTTCTGTAATCTTTCGCTTTGCTCGGGCCTGCAGTATTCACGAGTGAGTATCTACTTCTGTTGTGTGGTAGTAGTTACAGTTAGAACAAACAGTAGTGGATCTTTTTCATGCGCTTTTTTATCTATCTTTGATCTGCATATCACAAAACCAGTGTGAGAAAAAAAAGAACGTAAAGATAAAGGTGTTACGAAGTGGAACCATGTTCATTCTGCAATAAAAATTACTTCATGTTCTGCCCCCCGCATGTTTAAAAGTGCGCGTCGTTACGCAGCACGTTCCATATTAGAAACGTAATATGCAGACATCCGTGACATTAGTATCAACTAATGTTACGTCACTGCTTTACGATAACGCGATCATATGTAATAATGTAGTTCAGCAAAATAAAATGTATGTCCCAGAGTGTAATGTTCTAAAATTTAGTGGAAGTATTTGTGAAGCGCACTGTTAAACATGTGCGGCGCGAAAATTTTGACAAGGGGGTTCTTAAAGTCACTTTCATTCCAGAATGAACATAGTTTCCGTACTTGTCTATTGAGATAGTATACTAAGAGGCGCAGTTAGTTTCTCTTTTGGCTACACAAAACGGTATTTTTGTTATATCTACGCAGATGTGGCAGCCTGTACCCACTTATAGCAATTATTCCATAGTACTTCACTGGTGAGTGCTTGGTATTTTAGCTATGTTCTTAGAGTGGAGCGGTGCTATCTGTAAGTTTTGACGAGGTCTTTCTACATTTTCTACGTATGGATCGAAATGCATCAAGCTTTGGTAAACTGTTTACGTGGCAGTATCACCCCTTAATACATAGAGTTTTTAAGTAAACAATCTAGCTTGCTTGCTTTCTATTGTCTGTCACAAACACAAACCCTGTACAGCCGTACTTATGTAAGACGCATGTTCATTTACTATCTTTTTTAAATTTTAATGCCCATACATTTTTTTTATGACCATAATTACAAAATATATCATTGATCACATTATTTAACAAATATTTTTTCACTTCGTCAAATATTTCATATTAATTACATTTTCCCAAGCATAAAAATAAATTTATCAAAGAAAACATCTCAGTAGTTTCCAAACTATACTGCTTTTATTCTTTATATGATACAAGTACTGCCTTTTTACCCTTTATTACCTATTATGATGTTTACTTATTTAGTTTTTTATGTAATAATTCTATTATTTGTCAATAAGTACTTATCGTTATAAGTAATTAATTTTTCTCCAAAAGAATAATTTGCTAAAAATATTCTTCTACTTAGCATATAACAAAACAATCTGTTTTAGTTTATCTAATTATTTTTGTTGAATGTAATTATTAAATGTAATTATATAATTATTGAATTCAGTTATTAGTTGTTGAATAGATTTACGTCTGTGATATGTAGGTATTTATGTGGATTTCAGTATGAATAAATTATATTAAAATAATATTCTGTATTACTCCTTTCTTTGAAAGAACAATAAAAAAAGATTATGAAACCTACGGAAAAAGGCAGTAAATTAGTGTTTGCAGAGTATAAAAGTAGTAAAACACTTGTTACTGGTTTTTGATTTGCGACAATTAAAGACGAAATGTCATTTCTTTTAGGCCGTGACAATAACTATGATCCGAAATCACATTTAAATGACTCTCTATAAAGTCATGTAACTTTGCAATATTAATTCACTTTTGTTCTGTCGTAATAATACTATTTATTTGGTTTTAAAAATGCCTTATTTTGAACTCAAACTACGTTGTATACGGCTAATAATAATATAACCTTGTCTTTACGTCTTGGAAAAAAAAATTGCGATATGCAGTAGAAAGTGGATTTTCTTGCAGCAAATGTAATGTACCTTTCCAAAGCAGCTTTTCTTGGATACATTTCTCTTTGTGGTGATTTTTTAGTTAGTAGTTAGTAAAGTTTATACTCGAAATAATCGTCTGCTATTATCTATCTCCCGATCAGATTCGAGGAAGAGGTAACTATGACACCCCGTGTGTTGGTATTCAAATGTGTTTTAGGTTTTTCGTTTTTTTGAACTTGAATCGTTCACAAAACAACAAATCAACGTGTGATGATGTGATATGCATGAAATCTTTGGTATCTCGATTTTGCTTTGCTAATATGACTGTCTCTCTATCTAACAGTGCCCGGGGATCCGCAAGACGTTAAGGTAACGCCTTTGAATTCAACGACGATCAAAGTGAACTGGAAACCACCTCAAAGTAGGAATAGAAATGGGATCATCCTTGGGTATCATGTACACGTCCAAGAAACTAAAGAAGAGGTAAATTTTTGTTACTTATACTTCTCATAAGAAAGCTCATACTTTAAGACGGAAAACATTATGTTTTCGTCTCGCCTAGAACATGATCAGTGTTTGTACCCCCTCCTTAAACAGTGTTTCTTCAAAGTTGGGACTTTCCTTTATAGTGCTTATAGGTCAGCCAATAATAAGCATGTTGTTTTAGTAACATATATACCAAAGCTTCAAGATAACCGAGATATTCGGTTCCAAAAAGCAATAAATGAACCAGTACGACCCTGCCACCCTCCGTCCACAGTCCCCTCCGACCTCAAAACGTATGGTGTACTAAGACTATGTGAATCAGTATCCAAACCAGACGTCGCTTGGTGTCGAGGTTGACCTAGTTTATAAAGAAACCTCATTTGAAAAACTAAAATTGGCACATTCCTAGAGCAATAACCTAGTTATCGATTTGATATTTGCATTTTCACGATCCTCTTGATAGTCGATAGTCGAGTGTATTCAGAACCGTTACCGTGGTCCTCGATGTTTCTTTCCATCAGAGCTGCATATCTTTGTTTATATCGTGAAAAGCCGTCTGGTTGAATACAGTTGAAGACCTAGGCCAGAAGAGGTAAACAAACTCAAGTTTTTGGATCGAACAGCGACAAATTCAAGCAGTGTTTACGAATAAAACATTCTTTACCAAATGAATAGTATTTTTTTGTTTATTTTTTACGTTTTCAGTGTTGTTTTGTCGCAAATTAGCAAGCCCCAACTTTGAGGACATCCTATATATGCCACTATTTGATAACCATATTTGCCCTCAGCGGTAAATTATCCCAATTATACCGAATGCTTTTAGATTCTAATTTTTGAAAATACAATTGAAATATATATTTTCTGCGTAATTTTGCAGTTATGATCGGTATTGCGATAGATATTTACATTTCGGTGATTGACTAGATGTTTATAAAAGTAATTCTTTGTTTTAAGGGCAAAAGCTACTTGAACGAACCGATGAAATTCGATGTCGTGGGTGATTCTACAATGGAACTGAACGTTTCTGGACTTCAGCCAGACACTTTTTATACGGTTCAGGTAGCTGCTTTGACAAGAAAAGGTGATGGAGATAGAAGTGCACCGGTGACTGTCAGAACGCCGGGTGGTGTGCCAAATAGACCTAACTTGGTTTTGAAGTAAGCATTGTTCAAAAAAATATAATATAAAGTCTGATAAGTTTTTTCGTATCTGACGAGAACGAGGTATGCTGGTCACTCACACTTTTAACACACACAACTACAGCTACGTTTTACAGAAACTAGATATGTTTATGTTAGATCTTAACTTAATTTGTTGATGGAGTTGGCTACATGCTTTAATTTTATAGCACTCTACATCACCTGAAGATGTTCAATAAACATTTTTTAGGGTTATGGAAAGAGAACCAACAGTTACGATAGAATTGGAATGGTCCCGACCATCACAAACATATGGGGAACTAAAAGGATACCGGCTACGATATGGAGTTAAAGATCAACTCTTGAAGGATGTCGTATTAAAAGGTATACACTTTTTTAGTTTTATATGTTGAACACATTGTTTTTAGGATTTGTAAAATCTGAACTATGTTTGAACCAAGAATATCTACTTGGTACCTTGTCTCATTCAAGGAACCGCGTGCCTTTCATACTTTTTGCTGACATCAGATCCAGTCAACATCTTGTATTCGTTGGGTATGCGATGGCAGCACCACCTAGCAGAGGCCAGAGAGAAATATTTGAGCTTGACACATGTAATATAAAAATAAACGGATATCAATGAAAATAACAGACATTTAGTAAATTTGAGTTTCAAACTAAATATCCTCTGTTGATCCAATAAATTTAAATAAAAACGTTTATGTCTAAAATGCACCCGTGGCGTAGGTATCTATGTCCTAAGTTGATTATCTGACAATTAGCTGGTAGATGTCGCTATAATTTCTAAATGACGTTTCTGAACAACAACGAATTGTACACATTTTTACGCCAATAAAGCTACAAGCTACTTAAATTGCAAGACGGTCGCCAAAAGGTAATTAGTCGGTGGTGAAAGCAACTGATGTTTTAATGATATAGAGAACAGAGATGGTTTTGGATTTAGTTCAGGAGACAGTAGAAGTGTTACACCCAGAAAAAAAATAGTTTCTTCAACTTGAATTTTTGGCCATGGGGCAGTGTGACATCAAGAATGAAACGATAACATTCTTAAGAGATTTTATTAATAAGTAATAAGAAAAAAATTAATAATGTGTTGGGCGCCCCCGCAGCTGAATACACTCCTGTATATGTCTAGGCATCGACAAAATGAGATGATCGATGTCTGGTTTTAGCATCTCGGCAAAACATTAACGCCTGCTTCTTGAAGAAAGACCGTAGTACGACGAGCATTATAGAGACGTGCGTTGTCTTGCTGAAAAACGACATGTGGACGGCCCTCTAGATACGACAGTAAAGTGGTTTGTAGGAGATCATCATCATAACGCACAGCAGTCATATTGCCTTGATCAAAGAGAAGGGGTGATCGGCTATGGTAGGCAATAGCCCCCCAAACCATTACTCCAACAATCCTGTGTACATGCCTGTCAAACAGCAAATCCAATACCACGCCGTTCTCCGCGGCGGTGTCTTACCCTTCTACGACCATCGAGCGTACCTACACATAATCGCGATTTATCGCTGAAGATGACATTTTGCCATTGTGCCTCCCATTGTTGCCATTCTCTGCTCCAGTTCAAACGTTGATGACAGTGGTCCGCAGTCAGAGGAAGCACTAACCGTGGCGGATATGAAAAAAGTTCAAAAGCTCGAATGCGGCGATAGAGTGTACGCATAGTAACAGATCTACCTTCTCGTCCAAACCATTGAACAGCGATCTGACGCGTAGTTGCAAAACGGTATCGTAGGGCTAGTTGTCTGAAGCGCCTATCTTGAAGTTCTGTGGTTCGCCTCGGTGGATCAGCTGGGCTTCATCATGTTCCTCTACATTCTTGTATCCACACGCGACATACACGCATTACCGGCATTGAAGTACAATTAACACGGCGGCCAATTTCGCGATAGGACAAACCAACATCTCGATAGTCAATAATTCTGCCCCTGTCAAAGTCGCATACATGGTGATAACGTCGAGCTTCGAACTCGACGCATTTTGTTATGCTTAACACTAATAAATGAAGGGCCAATAACAAAAAATATCTGTACTACTCAGCTTTCAGAAACTGCTTTCTTCACAAAAACTATGAGATATCATTTTAACAAAGGTGAACAAAAGCGAAGATAAGACGTTGAAATTGTTGCCACAGCATGCCTTAAATATAGTCGTTATGTTGCTAAAAAAAAAAAACAAGTTGAAGAAATTATTTTTCCTGGGTGTAACGCTTCTTGTCACTGAGTATACGTGTATAGCTTATGACATAACTGCCGTTATGGATGTGGCTTATGCTTTCATTAAGTAGGAAAACTTTGTATTAGTTTCAAATTACCACTGGATAATCATTTCAAACCATCGGAATATATCCTTATCCGTATTGAGAGCGACGACGCAAATAACGTTAATGTGGCTTGACCTTCTTCAGTCTTTAGGAACATTGATAATTTTTTCGAAATAGAGAACGCATTTGACACAGTCCTAATGGAAAGGCAGGGCTTTAACGCATTTAGCTTCATCTCTTTCACGAAAAAGAACTTTAATACAGATAAGGAGTCCGTCACATGTATGTGTGTGGTGTTTCAGGTCTAACGATGAACTCGCAAATTATATCTTTATTAAACAATTTTTAAATGGTACATTTCTTTTCAATAAGGCACATCTAGTGTTTTCAAAAATGAATTTATTTTACAAAAATGAGTTATATTTTCTCTAATTTGTTGTCACCAAATCTTTGTTCCTCAAAATGTAAACCTATTGTAGCGTTTCAATCGTTCAATAAGAAATTCAGTAAGAAAGGCGGGCAGGATTAACGTAAAACTTATAATCTCAGATTTCTCGAAATAAAGTCAATGTGGCTTAGGTACCTTACTGCCAAGCCCTTAAAAATATTGGCTGCGAAATATTTGCACCATTGCCAGGCCTGTATTCCACTATCAGGCGAATGATGTATACCTTTCCGCCTGCGGGACAATCGATTCAGTTCTCCCTGTATGCTCTTAGCACCAGAATAGTGATTTCAAAATTATACCTGAATTTGAAAATTACGTACCTGATTTTCAAAGGTATTTTTTAAACGCCGTTTTTATCCTTACATAGCTATGTTTTTTCCAGCAACTCACACGAGTTATAGGATAAACGACCTGGAACGTGGCGTTGAGTACGAATTTAGGGTTGCCGGCCAAAATCACATTGGTATTGGTCAAGAGGCCATCAAGTATATGCACACTCCTGAAGGACCTCCAACAGGACCCCCAACTAACATCAGTTACCACTTCCAGACGCCAGATGTCGTTTGTGTCACTTGGAGTCCCCCACTTAGAGAGCACAGGTATAACTTACACCAAAATATAACGGAATACTATTAGAAACTAGTCAATTTCCACTCATGTTATAGTATTGATTAACGGAGATATCCAACCTGATACTGTTTCAGCGTCAGAAACGATTCCTCAAGATTTATTTATTTTAGTGTAGGGCGCACATTGTACTTGCAAACATTAGGCAAATATAAAAGCTATATCATAAGATTACAACTTAGTTAATATAGTAACTATAAACATAATGCTCGTATGTGCAAATCATATGCAGGCTGATTCACAAGTCGTGACCAAAAATGAAACATCATACACAGGACCGCATTTTAAGGGGGTCTTCTATGCAACATTTTTCCCTCGAGGTCTTCATTAAAAAGATGAAGTTTAAAAATAAAAAACAATGTTTTTTAGTATCTTCAAAACCGTCAACTGGTATGAACTAAAATTTGGTATGTGGATTTACCTAAGTATTGTCCACATTCAAAAGTCTACTTGAAATTATCGTGCACCAGTGGCGAAGATACAGGGGACTAGTTGCATTATTTTTCCAAATTAAAATAGTACGCCACTGTTTTTTTTTCGAAACGCGTAATTTTTCGAATTTCACCTTCAATTTGCTATGTACAATTACTCTTGTTTTATTCCTGGAGTGCACTGTTTTTGTAAAAATAAAACAAATTAGATCATTCATAAAGGTACAATTAGTTTCAAAATAAAATAGGAAGCCTTGATAGCCACTTAACGTTTCTTGGGAGATAGTTTGTCAAAGTTTTGTGTTATACGGTTATCGTTACTACTACCATTTTTGTTTTGTAAAAGTCAAGTCAAAGGTTTCTTTTTTCCATTTTTGAGTGTTGTGAAATGGAATTTAGTAAGGACGACTACGCCGATATTATTTTTGTGTACGGTTTATGTATTGGAAAAGCTTTAGCGGCTTCTCTGGAGTATCAACGTAGATTTCCTAACAGAGGCCAACCTACCCCAAAGGTTTTTACGCGTTCATTCCTAAGACTAAGTTACTAAAAACCTGAGCTTGATCTTTTTCAAAAATACCTTACCCGAGAAATTCGCGTGGGGGGAGTCATCTGGGTTTCCATCATGTGCCCCAAGATACTGTCATTTGTAATGTGGTGGAATTGCCCCCCATTTACAGAGGAAGTAGGTTCATTTCCCTTGTTTTCTAATTCTGTGGAGGCTTGAACGTTCGTTTCGACTAAGGTCAAAACCGTTCATGAGGCCCGTCTGGCCAACCCTGCTTCCGGGCAACCTTTTCAAAGTATATTTCTAATTTTTGCAGAGACGAGAAGCATATCTGCGACAAATTCTCATTAATGACGCCATGGTATCTGTTTTCATCTCAGATAATTTATTGTAGGTTGAAATACAGTATCAGATTGGATATCTCCAGGTAGAATACTTTAATCAATGGTATGTTACGTAATAAAACAGGTTTGAATATTTACCTATTGATATTAATGTTAATTCCAAACTATTTTAGGAATGGCCAGATTACAAAGTACGACATCCAATTTCACAAGAAGTCCGATCATAGCAACATAATCGTAAGGAACGTCTCAACAACTAAGGCTGTGTTCACAAACTTGGAGGAAGATACAGAGTATGTGTTCCATGTTAAGGCGTATACTAGCGTTGGAGCTGGGCCGAATAGTGAAAAAGTGACCTTCCATACTGATAGGGATATAGGAAGGGCACCCATGTCTGTAAAGGTAAGTTCTTGACAGAGTAGAAAAAACAGTTATATAGCAGAGAAAACACATGACTGATAGTGGACTTTGCCTACAAAAGTAACCAACACCGGTTCTTTCCACCATAGTCTTTCAGGAGAAATGGTATCTTCGACAGTATGCTACTTTCAAATTAAAAATTTCTATGTTGAATGGACTAGGTTAAGGGTGATAGTAGATGCTTTGTCGTATCAAATGAATACAGAAAGCACATCTTTCTATATATTTGATACAAGCATGTGACGTTTTGAAAATAAAATTAAAAGTCTGATCATAGCCGAGTTCCACCAATGGGACATTGATTTCGGCTGGTCGGAGTCTAGATCACCGTGGACTTCTCTAATCAATCGTGGCAACAGCTGGGAAAAAGCTAGGCTATTTGTTTAGGGCCGAAAAGTACTTTTTTCCACATAACTGCCGCCCCGACTACATCCATTATTATTCTACTACTAGCTGACCCGACAGACGAAGTCCTGTCTTAACTATGAACTGGGATGATAAATAAAATGTTTCGAAAACAAACTGGCAACATACAACTGGCCGTCTGAAAAACATTAATCTTCAAACATACAACGACTGCCCTTACGATTTATTTATTATTATTTTGGAATCAGTTATGCGTGGAATCAAAACGTCTTCGCCTTTGTATTTTCCTTGTAAAATGGTGGCGTCGATAATAACATTTTTCATTAATTTCTTCACCGCCAGTCGAGTGCCATTGCAAAGACGTGGCTGGTATATGTTCCGAAACATAATGATTACCGATCCTACTTTTAATTGCAGATTATGAGGTGGTAATCCGGAGACTTTTAGCAAATTCAAAAGTTCCGTTGGATAGTTGACAACATCATCTTGGTTAGTAATGATATCAACCGATGTGTGTGTCCTTAATTCCCCAGCTATCTTATTTACTCATAAAATAAATTTTCAAAAATTTGTAGTCACTATCCGCCGTTGGCAATGGGGAACCTAGTCGATGATATATCTGACCCTGAATCTAAAAGGGTAAATATATGGAATATAGGTAATTGTATAGTTTGGACCGCCATGTGGCTAGCAAAATACGTTGGCAGCACTGCCATTCCCCCATCAACTTACCTTGAAAGTAGGCATAAAATTATGTCGAATGACTTGTTGCGCCAAGTGACCTCAATTGAAAATAATCATTGTATTGCTGGAATCAGGCACATTCCCGGAAACCAATGAATGTAGTGGCTCTGGTTTTGGTACCAATGGAGTCATTTTGACTTTTCCAGTAGCGCAACATAATCCAGGGGCTTTATATTTAAAATTTAAAGCCTTGCAATGGCGACACACAACGTTCATTGGTCCAATAGAATGATTTGTTGTGAACTGTAATCGATTGTAATGTGCCACACGTTGTATTTCAATCATTCGATCCCGTTCAACTTCATTTCTCGCTTCTCGTTGCTCCTCAGTTTGACTTCTTTGTATATATTTTTGACTCGCAGCATTGCGAGTTCTGCAACCTAGGTTGGTACGTCTAATTGATGTCATTTTGAAGAATCGCAATTTTAATACAAGGCCTGATTGCGGTGCACTAACTACCAAATACTTCTCAAAAAACTCACTGAACAAGCTCAAAACTGGATAAATGCTCTAATCGAATGAACTGTGCACTACTAATAAAAAAATATTTTTTCATCGATAAACACTGTTAAACGATAATATAAATTCGCGGCGTACGAGCTGTCAGGTTCAAAATGATAGATTAGTGAAAGTCAATTAAGCAAAAGAAACCTATTTTCATCCGCCATTTTTATTTATAGAGTTAACTGACAAAGATAACAGTTAGGCAACACTGCAGTTTCTTTTGAAGAGGCCATCACAAAGGGCAGATGGTAAAGACATGAAAGTCCAAAAACGAAAGCACCGTGTTTTCATAAGCAATTTTCTCTCACAGAGCTACCTGTCAATACGAGGGATGTCTTTTAAGTTTTGCATATAGAAACATGGTAGGCCGCGCGGATCGAACGTCAGTACTGAATCTTAACCTCACTCTTTAGAAAACTTAAATTCAATGTTTCACAACAATACGTGTGCAGTGTTCTCACTACAGTGAATTTTTAAGAGTCACCAAGTCATTAGAAAAATGGAACTCAACCGAGAACATTTTCGCGCCATAATTTATTACACCGAAGCGCCACATCAGTCGACAATTTCCCGCTGGTGTGGAGAATTCAAACGTGTACGGCTGAGACTTAGCGACGATCCCAGGTTGGGTGCACCAAAAACGGCAGTCACCCAGGAAAACGTCGATGCTGTACGCGAACCCATCATTGAAGATAGACATGTGACATAACGCGAGATTGAGGCGTCCTTGAAGATCTCAAAGACCTCAATTCAACAAATTTTACATGACGAATTAGGAGTAAGGAAATTAGTTTCTCGTTGGATACCCCACCTGTTGACTGAAGAGCAGAAACCGTTTCAATTCCGAAAACTCAAAAAATGTGTACAGCATTGATAGTGGTGATGAATCGGGGATTTACTGTTATGAACCATAAAATAAACGACAGTCTTCTGTTTGGGTGTTCCAAGGTGAAGAAAAGCCAACAAAAGTCATCCGTTCTCGAAGTGTTTCGAAAAATATGAGTCACGACATTTGTGTCAAAAGCGGGACATATTGCAACAATTCCTCTTAATGAGCAAAGAACTGTTACTGCGTATTGGTATACCACCATTTGTTTGCCAAAAGTCATCACCGAGCTTCGAAAAATCAACCCCGAAAGAAGAATCATCCTCCACCAAGACAATGCAAGCTCGCACACAGCCCAAAAAACAAGGCATTATTTAACGGAAGAAAACGTGGAATTATTGGACCATCCTCCATATAGTCACGATGTAAGTCCTAACGATATCTTTACTTTCCCGAAAATTAAAAACAGACTGCGTGGTCAAAGGTTCCAGTCACCAGAAGCAGCAGTTGACGCATTCAAAAATGCCGTTTTGGATCTGCCAGCAAACGAGTGGAATAAGTGCTTCGAAAATTGGTTCGAGCGCATGCAGATGTGTATTAATCTTCGTGGAGAATACTTCGAAAAACAATAAAGTCATTTAAAACTACCTACCGTGTTGTTTTATTTCCATATGCAGAACTTAAAAGATATCCCTGGTAGCTGTTGGAATCGAGAGGAAGGAGTGCCTGTCTCTTTTGGTACTTGAGATATTTCTTCTGCTGTGCGTGCTCAACGCTCAAGCGATCTGTCAAACGCGCGTGGCTCAAATAATCATTCGGCTTTCAATGATTTCCCTATTTTCTGCGCAATTGTCTTGATTTTTCTTTGAGTAAGAACCCTCTATACAATATTAGAAACTTAACAAAACAAGATGAATGAAATCGGTAAAGTCGTTCTCAAGTTATGGCGTGACCTCGGGAAATAGGGATTAATTTTTTTCATATTTTTCATTTGTGGTTAATTGCAGTAAGTAGGATACATTTCTCTTACAAAAAGTGTACACAGCAACAAGAAGTTTGCTCACAAAAAGTGCCAGTTACAAAATAATAACCATCAGAATAACTAGCTGGTTTTATAGTCTAGTTATCCAGGATCATATCTCACAAATATCTGTTTGCATCAAATTTTCACACTTGATTTAATCATCCTACAATTTTAAAAAGAAAACATAGCCTCACAATCATAATAACCATCACAAAACAGAATCATTAATTATAAACAAGGATGGAGAGCAATGAACCTGAAGCCGAGGTATGCATCAAATGTAAAACAGAATTTCATGGAGACAGTGGTTACTATAAATGTGATTCATGTTTTGGGAGCGTTCATAAGGATTGTGTCAATTTAACATCTTCAGAAGTGCGATGTATGCCACTACAGAAAAGGGTCCTTTTGTTGATTTGTGATGAATGCAAGCAATTAATAGCAAGAATGCCCTATATGGTGAAAATGATGGGGGAAATTAAAAGAGAATTAGCAAATTTGAAAGCAAACTACAGAAAATACACTTACGTAAATGTGTTAAAAAATACATCCGCGCCGGATTCCATTAATAAGCCTAGTCTGCCTACCATAATAATTAGTCCTAAAAGCCAACAAAATATAGGAAAGAATAAAGAGGAGGTGCAAAGGTTGATAAATCCATGCGAAATCAATGTTGGAATTAGAAATATTAAGGAAACTAAGAAAGGAAATATTGTACTAGGGTGCGACACAGATCAGGAGCTAGAAAGACTCAAGAAATCAGCAGAAAGTAAACTAAAAGGTAAATATGAAGTTAATTTACCAAAAAAGATGTTACCGAAAATTAAAATTGTAGGATATGTGAGTAATAAGGAGATAGAGGAGCTTGAAGAAAGTATAAGGAAGCAGAAGACATGGATGCAGTTGAACGGAGACTTTAAGATACATTATATTAGAAGACATAAACATAAAGCTACCTCTACAATTTATGCGGAATGTTCAGGAAACTTATATTCTAAAATAATGAAAAATGAAAAAATTTACATAGACTGGGAGCGCCTGCCGGTGTATGAGGATCTGACTGTATCTAGGAGTTTCAAGTGTCAGGGCTTTCAACACAAAAGTAACTGGTGTCTTAGAAAGCAGGTCTGTGGAAACTCTGCAGGGAGTTACAATACCACAGAATGTGAAAGTCAGGAGAGGACGTGTGTGAACTGTGACACGGCCAATAAGCTGTATAAATGTGCGCAACAGATCATAGTGCATTAAGTGCAAACTGTCCACGTTTAAAATACCAAATTGGAATCTTGAAGTCCAGGACTGACTATAGTAAATAAGAATAATGGTAAATCACATAAATGAGGAAATTCTAGATATAATTAATGAAGACGATGGTTCTTTGAGTGAAATAACGGACAGTGAACAGATAAAAACCTTCTTGTCACAGAATGCACATTCATGGGCTGTAACTGTGATTCATGTTAATATAAGAAGTATCAACAGAAATTTGGATAATTTTCTGGCTTATATACAGTCATATAAGCTAAATAGCTTTGACGTTATTGTTTTCACGGAAACCTTTCAAATTGTGTCTAATAAGAACTGTAATTTACCTGGCTACCAAACTTTTTATAATGAAGGTAATTACAATAAAAATGATGGGGTTGTTGTTTTTGTTGGGGGTGGTATTAGGGCGAATTTCTCCAAGTGCCAATTAAGTATATCAAGGGTTAGTTTAGGATGGGGTTTTGTATGGTATAACGTGCGTTTACAGACCACCTCCAATATCAAAGTAAGACTTCACTCATGATTTGCACACTTATTTGGAGCATAATAGTTCTTCTAATATTGAAGTATTTCTGGGGGATATTAAGATAAATATTCTGGATAATAAGGACACTCTGGTGACAGAGTATCTGTCAATGATGTCTTCTCTTGGCTTTAACGCATTTATCAATAAACCTACTAGACTGTCTTCGGGAACTTGCCTGGACCATATATCTGTTAGGCAAAAATTAAAAACCAATTGTTTATTATTAAATTCTTATATACTCAATGAGGAAATAACGGATCACAGTCCAACAGTGCTTTGTATAATTAATAAAGCACGACCTTCTGGAATTTTGTAGGTAGGGCAAGTTGTAACAAGAAACAAACTAAACATAAATAAATTTAAGAAGTTTTTGAATGATTGTGATGGGACTTTGGTAACTAGTGTGAATGATCCAGAAATAGATGTAAAGTTATTTTTGACTACCTACAGGAACTTGCTGTTGAAAGCTACAGAAACAATTGCCACAAGAGTATCAATTCCAAAAAAAAATAAAACTATGGATAAGCAATGGAATTATTGTTTCTGTGGAAAAAAGGGATAAAATGAAAAAGAGACTTCTAGCAAATTATAGTTTGTCTTTGGAAAATCAGTACAAGGATTATCGCAATAAACTAAATAAATTAATACACAAATAAAAGAATAATTACTATAGAATGCAAATTGAAAAAAATAAAAATAACATCAAAAAACTGTATGACGTCATAAAGGATGCAACTTATGAAAAGAGTTACAAAGGTCAATCTTATATTTCTATAAATGGTAATGATGGCAACCAGTTTACTGATTCTATTGAAATGGTAAATTTTTGTAAGGAGTATTTTATTGATGTGGGTGTTAACATGGCGTGGACAATTCCCACTCTTCAATCTGAGTGTAAATTAGCGCACCCCGTCCAGAATTCTATTTTCTTAAGTCCCATTACAAGGAATTAACTAATAAAACATATCGCATCTTTGAAAAGTAATAGTGCTCCTAGCTATGATGGCATACAGGTTGAAACTATAAAGCAAACTCATTTTGAAATTTTAACACCTTTATTACATATTTACAATTTAATTTTGGTAACTGGAATTGCCACGAAAGAGTTTAAAACGTCAATAGTTATCCCGATACATAAATCAGGGGATACTACATCCATTGGAAATTACAGGCCTATAAGTTTAATAACAAATTTTGCAAAGTTATTCGAAAAATGTCTTAAAACTCGATTAACGGATTTTTTTAAAGCTAATAATGTATTATCAGATAATCCATTCGGGTTTCTGGAGGGTTACAGTTTACAGTGCAGTGGATGCTATGCAGAAATTAATAACTGAGATTATCAATAATCTGAATAATGGCAACAAGAGTATTGCTGTTTTTTTGGACCTTGCTAAGGCTTTCGACACGGTTCCTCACGATAAGCTAATCGAAATTCTTCACAGCAATGGTATAATGGCTTATGATTTATTGAGGGATTATCTTTCAAACAGACCACAACTGCTAAAACTAAATAACGTAACAAGCAATGAAAAAATAATAAAGAGTGGTGGCCCGCAGGGTACTGTTTTGGGACCGCTCCTTTTTATAATTTATATAAATAAGATGCTAAAGCTGGACACGGGGGGTTATGCTGACGATACTGTACTTCTTTTTGCAGGTTCTAGTTGGGAGGATGTAAAGTGTAAAACAGTGTATGGTCTAGGTATGGTAAAATACTGGTTACAAGAGAGTAAACTAACATTGGATTTATCTAAGACAAACTATATTGCGTTTTCGTTGACCAATAAAAACAGACCAAATTACAGCACTATTATGTTGGATGATAATTATTCTGTTAAGGAAGTGTCTCAAACTAAATATCTTGGAATCATTATTGACCAACATTTAAAGTGGCAGATGCATGTTGATTATGTATCGAGTAGAGTTAGAAAATTAATCCATAAATTTTATCTACTGCGTGACTTTCTCGATAAAAAAATTTAATAACAGTTTATAAAGCATTTGTAGAATCTATAATTAGATATAGGATATTAGTATGGGTGGATTGTATAATAATGCTCTACATAAACTCATTATTATTCAGAAATATATTATTAAAATTATTTTTAAGAAAGATAAAAGATTCCCCACTAATCAACTTTTTACAGAGGATGTGTGTAATATTAGATCTTTGTACGTGATGACAGTATCTACTTTTATTTATAGAAGTGAAAAACTACAGAAACAAGTAAGTCATAACTACTGTACTCGTGCAAATGTAGACGGGCAAATAGAAATTCCCAAGAAAAACCATAACCTAAACTTCAGATACATAACGTATATAGGGCCAAAGATATATAACATTCTGCCAGAACACTTGAAAAAGATGAAAATATTAAAATATCTGGCACCAGCTGCAGAGAATATATTTTTGAGAATGCTGCACAATTTGAAAGGTTTTTCTAATGATTTCTTGTGTCATAGTATGATTGAACTATTGTTTGGGATATTGAGGTTGATTATTGTTTTTTGTCCGGATGATGAAAGCACATACAGGTGGTTTGAATCATCTAGACGCATCTTTCTGTCATCAGGATGTCCTTGATGAAGACGAATTATATTGTTGTGTTATATATTTATGTGTATTTATAATTTTTGTATATGGTCTTTGTTGGATGTTATTGTTATTAAATAAATAAATAGATTTATTCTCTCTTTCATTACCTTATAGTTGTGGCCACGCAGGTGGTTGGCGTTGAGCCAGAAAAGTGAGAATATGTTAGTGCCCAAGAACCTATGCAAAGCTCTGTATGCGATTATTAAGTCCCCTCGTAAGCGTCTGTGGGAGAAGTGAGTTAAGTTGAATGTATTCAACCTCTTTTCATAACAAGGTTGTTGGATACCGTACGGGATGTGTGTAGCTCTGAATATTTTCAAACAGGTGGAGGAAATTCCATAATTGGCCTAACATATGACGTGCATTATCTTTCAATAAGGTATAGATTCCTTTTGGCCTTAGCCGTTGAGTATTGGATATGCTTGAACTATGACAGACTATCCGATACGAGGTGGCAGCTTCGGTATAAAAAATTCATGATTTTTTTTAATTCTCAGGCCGTGGCAACGTCAGAATCGAGCGTGGAAGTATGGTGGGAGCCCGTACCTTCGAGAGGAAAAGTGATTGGATACAAGATTTTCTATACGATGACAGCCGTTGAAGATTTGGACGAATGGCAGCAGAAAACGGTGGGTCTGACGGAGTCAGCACATTTGGTGAATTTGGAGAAATTTGCTCAATATGCCATTGCTGTGGCAGCTAGGATGAAGAATGGATTAGGACGTCTTTCTGAAAAGGTTTGGAAATAAATTCGATGCTTAATATGCAAGGATTATTAGATAGAACTATTTTTTCTTAGTCATCACAATTTTGATTGACTGAAAAGTTTCTCTCGAAGATACAGGATGTTGAAAATGTCACTGATGAGACTGGGCAAGGACAAAACATATTGTTCAAATAATGATGGGATATGATTACTCTCATAATACACTATATCTGTACATCAGAGCCCGATTAGGGCAAGTCCAAAAAGTTAATTTTTCAGTATAGCCGATTATAGATCCATCAACAGAAATTTGACGACTGTGCCAACATAATGCCATGAAATTGTTTATACAAATGGATAAAAAGAAACAGTTTGAGGTAATCCTGATGTTTTATAACTTTTTGGTCATTTTTGTGACTTAACCTAATTTGGCTTTAACAAAAAAATTAAAGTTCGGACTTTTATATATCATAAATTCTGTTTCATGGACATACAATATTTAACGTTGACTTAAAACTATCAGATGAGTCCATAAAAAAAACTAATATATATATATATATATATATTCACGCTTTCCTGGATGGTAATTAAACATCACGTTAATCCAAAAAACGTCTATTCAATATAGCAATATAAAATATAAATGAAAATAAATAACTTAACAAAGAGTTTCTCTTTAAAGAAAACGTACAACTTAAACTAAGTGAGATAAAAAACATATAATTGAAATTAAGTCAGCTCATTCCATGTAGTTAATATTGGAAATAATCGTCATAGGCAAGGTTAAACTGATCACATTCTATTGTATTTGCGTGAAAATTTTATAAAGCTGATGTAACCGTTCATGAACCCAAACAAATAGTTTCTGTAGATTGTTCTTCTTCTTCTACAGATATTGGCTTATGCCAGGCCCTATGCATCCTAGGTACACAGCGTAGCCCACTTTATGTCGCGATGCTCTGTTGGAATCAACTTCTGAAAAATCCTTCTTTTTATAGTACAATATGCACCTGCATATCACATACCTAAGAAATAAGAGAATCCTCCCCCACTGTCACATGAGTACGTTCCACATATTTTTGAAAATTCGATGTAGCGTAAATTTGACGTAACTTCAGCACAGAATTTGGTCTAATTAAAAATTGTATAATACACCTGCCTCTTATTAAACGACAGTTGAGGTTCTCCGATTGGCCCTTAGATAGATCTACCATTCTTTTAGATCTAGAAGACATGATGTTGGAAAACCAAATTTGTCTGACGGCTCGAGTTCAATGTATACGGGAGAGAAGTGTGTATCAGCACAAGTTAGAAAGTGATAGAAGTCGGCTGATAGAGCGAAGGTTATCATTACATTGCCCAACAACGGTGACGCAGAAGATCTTGGACTCTGCCCCGTTGCCAATATGTTATACCAGAAAATGTTCGCACGGGCTTGTACAATAGGTTAGGTTCCTGTCAAATCCAAGAAGCAGTTCTGTTTGAACATTTAATTTAATATTTTATTTCCATTTTGATTAGAATTATTTATTTGAATTTTGATGCACCTTGTGTTTTAATTCAGTTTAGAATTATCTTTTGATTTCCACTGATGGTGATAAAATCAACACATCAGCGAGCAGTCGCAATACATATTATCACTGCGTGTACACAGGTTAAAACCATTTCAAAGCAGGCCGACACTCCCCAATGAGGCATTGGGTGCTGACCAAAATCGCTCATCTATGACCATGTAGGTAGAAATCTTGCCTTGGAATGTACGAGATGCGTTGTTGGCAAGCGAACCACAGGTGCAATGTTGCAGAATTTGTGACGATCCTCACCTTTGATTTCGACCTAAAATGAAGCGCCGGTAATACCGATTCGGAATCGATCCTAAACAGGTTCAACACAATTCGAAATGCAAAAATGTGTTGACTCAAATTAAAACCATTACATATTTGGATGTAGAGAATAAACTAACGCGTATTTTCATTATGCATCTGAATTCAAGTAACTCGTTTAACATATTGGCATTGGCTTCTATCTCGTTCATTTGAAAACTTCCCACCACGAGAAATTTAGAAAAATCTTTATTTATCTTAATTTGTTCAGATAGAAAACAAAAACACACGAAAATAACACTTTTTATTTCAATAAGTGTTAAAAATGTTGTCCGTTATGGTTTGCCAAATCTGCAATTCGTTTATAATATGAAACGGAAACTACCAACATAAACAGCAATTCGAAATATTAGACGTGGGAACAACCAAATAACAACCCGAATTTTCCATCAACACAGATCCTGGGCGAACTGTATTTGTTGTTATGTCTGTTTAGTTATTTATTGCTAAGGGAAAGAAAGATTTTAATTTGCGGTCAGTTAACTTTGTCACAATCTTGGGGTAGTGAAAACTAATTTATTGATTCAGATTTCTCTGCCAAAATGGTTTACACACTAGTCGAAAGAGTGGAAATGATTCTAATTTATGGTGCCCAAAATCAATGTGCTCGGCAAACGGCCGTCACATTTAACGCCAGACATCCGAGGAAGATAACTTAGCATAGGTATGTTTTGTACCTTGTTACTAAATTTACTCAAACTGGATTTTTTGCAAATAAAAAACGTGATCGTCGGAGAGCTTTGGATGAACCCGCTCGAGTTGAAGTTTTGGGTCATTTTGGAATAAGTAGTAATACTTCATTACGCAAAATTGTTGCTGCGACTCGTATTTCATTAGGCTCTGTATACACTGTTACTAAACTCCATAAATTTCATCCATTCAAAATGGAAATATTGCAAGAGTTAACCGAAAATGATTTCGATAGGCGAGCTGAGTTTTGTGAACAAATGACTGCAGCAGTTAATGATATACCATTCATGTAAAGAATATCTTCAGTGATGAATGCATATTTTATCTAAATGGATTTGTTAATAAGCATAACTGCAGGTATTGGAGCAATGACAATCCTCCTTTTGTAGAAGGGTGCCAGTACCCCCAAAAAATCAATGTATGGGCAGGCATTTTAGGAAACAACGTGATTGGGCCATTGTTTATTAATGGAAATTTAAATGGAGACATTTATTTGGATATGTTGGAAAATACCATCAACCCTCTTATCACTGAAACCATTGAAAACAAAATCGAAGAGGATAGAAACCCTATACTTGATGAGGTTGAAATATATTTCCAGCAAGACGGTGCTCCCCCTCACTATGTCCTTTCGGTTCGGCAATGACTACACGACGAGTTTCCACATTAATGGATAGGGAGGAGAGGGCCTATAGAATGGCCTGCTAGATCTCCTGATTTAACGCCAGTAGACTCTTTTTTATGGCGCCACTTGAAACCCATTGTGTTTACTACCTAACCTGAAAGATTGGATGAACTTCGTCAACGCTGCTATGATGTCCTACAAGTTCTGGAAAATGTCCGTCAGGACTTTGAACATCGCCTATATCATTGTTTGATCAATAACGGGCATCATTTTGAATACTTATTGAAATAAAAAGTAATATTTTCGTGTTTTTGTTTTCTATCTGAACAAATTTAGATAAAGGTTTTTCAAATCAAACGTCAAAATAAAGGACTTCGAAAGACCTTTCAAACAAGCTCGATATCCCTTGTCATTTAAAATGTTTAAGGGGATGACCCTGGGGGGGGGATCTAGAGGCTGAAAGGGGGTGAAGTAGTTTTTGATAAAAAAATGTCCCCCCTTAACAAGTTGTTTGACGTGTCTCGGCGATCTTTTAAACAATGGTTTTTGATAAATCCGTGGTGGGAAGTTTGCAAATGGAAACCCTCTATGAGTGTGTACACACTTCTCTCTCGTACATATTGAACTCAAGCTGTCAGACAAATTTGATTTTCACTGTATATCACGCACAGTTCTCACTTTGATATTATTTATTCTGTATTTATGTCTATATTACATTTTCTTTAAATATAAACTCTGTAAGGCAGATTATCACAAACGCAACTTGCACGGGATGTACATAACCTATGACACTGAAAATATAATGCGCGCCAAACTATGACCAGTGATTTGCTCTAGACAGCCTGAGGACGACCTGATTTAAATATTTTTATTTGATATGTCCTTTACTAAATTTTGCATATATTCAAAGTAAAACGGGTTGAAGATTTTTATACGTTGTATGAATTTTTTCATACCTGTTTTACGTCCTATATTTGATAATTTTCTGGTTTTCAGGTGACAGTAAAAGTGAAACCCGAAGACGTTCCGCTAAACCTTCGCGCCCATGACGTCACCACCCACTCGATGACACTTTCGTGGTCTCCTCCAATCAGACTGAACCCTGTGAAGTACAAAATCGCCTATGATGCCATCAAGGAGTTCGTCGATTCCCAGGGCATCACCCAAACGCAGATCATCCCCAAGTTGGAGATTGCGTTGAGTAGCGATGTGAGGTCGTACACAATCAATGAGTTGTCACCGTTCACGACGTACAGTGTCAATGTCAGTGCTGTGCCGGCTGATAATTCGTACTTGCCGCCTACTAAGGTGACGGTTACGACGCAGATGGCTGCTCCCCAGCCTATGGTAAGTCATGAATCTATAGAGTTTTTTGCTTTTCAGGAAATTAGGAAAAGTCAGGGAAGTAAAAGATGGTCAGTGTTTGTAAAAAATGTCAGTTAGCAGACAGTGCAGGGAAAATATCTTGTATGTTGCTTAGAAGTCAAACAATACTCTCACTCTCGCAAAACTCGCGTGCATGTTTTTTCGATTGACTGAAATGTCTCTATATAGTTTAAACGTTCAAATATAAAAAAATTCAATATTTTTACAAAATACATTCTTCAGAAATTACGTTTTATGTAGTGATCTGAGAAAGTTTGGAGGCATTAGGTTGATCAAATAAATCGGCCAATTTTCAAAACTCACACAGCTTTTTTCTCATTGGAATAACAGTAAACTTCTGACAAACCTTCATTCAAATCTGAGTAGTAGTTATATATAGGGTAAGAATTATTAAGTTTTACTTTAGAAGCAATAAAGCACGATTGGGCCACTCTGTAAAGCCAACGAAATAGAATTAATAAAAATCAGTTTTTGTTTACACGCTGAACACAAATCTGAAGTCCAAATTGGAGGCCAGTGGACAATGCTAGAGAAAACGCATAAAAACGATCCAAAGCTCCAGAAAAAATAAAATAAGAGATGTGTGCTGGGTATCTCACTGCGTTTTCCATGTCTTTTTTCGCACTGAACACGAATCTGCAGTCAAAATTGGGGGAAGATTGATGAATATGAAAGTAATTTAGAGATAAGAATTAATTTTTTGTTATTTTTGGTGGATGAGCATCTCTCAGAGACCTCCGAAAAGATGCACATTCGCAACAATTCCAAAATTTGTGATCTTAATGCCTGAATCAATCTCTTATTTGTCCTCCAGTCCTAATTTTGACTTCAGATTCGTGTTCAGCGTGAAAAACTACATGGGAAAAACAGTGGCACACACCACTTTTTTATTTTGTGGGCCTGTGTTATCATGAAAAAAGGCAGGTCATTAGAGTCATATGTTTTGAAACAGCAAACTGCAAAATGTCCAGAAGCCGAAAATATATGTTAAATAATATAATATTTAAGGTCTCATGAGTGTACAGTAAGATAGCAAAAAATTTCAACGATTAAGAGTGCCATAAAAAAGTACCAATCTGTTTTTTTAGCCATATTTTTCACAGTGGATTCACTATGTGAACTTCCTTCAGTCCACCACTAGTTAAAACCAGTAAAGAAGTCCTTTTCGATTTTGCTCTGAAATCATTATTTTTCAATATACGAGTATAACATAAAACGTGGGAAAAACTGCTTGCAAAAGCAAGTGCTTATTTTTGCCGTCTCTCACAATCTTATTTAGCAGTAAACCACCTGGAGTATATCGACAGTTCCCATACATTCCAGCGTTTCTAGATGAAACTGGATTCTTCTTCGATGCTGGTAGATGGTGGTCGATTTCTCTTGAAGCGTGCCCCGAACGCGAACGTTCTCCACTTACGGTAGCGTGATTCTGGTTGCATAAGCGTTGACGTTGCGAGGGCGTCTCATCGATACCCCAAACTTCTAGTTTACGATGACACTACAATGTTGTGACCATCTCATTAGTATTTTTTTTTACTAATCACGTCTGAAAATATGAAAATTAAATTCTAGGTGAAACCAGACTTCTACGGCGTGGTGAACGGCGAAGAAATCCACGTGATTCTGCCGCAAGCATCTGAAGAATACGGACCAATTAGCCATTACTTCCTAGTGGTAGTGCCAGAAGACAAAAAGACAATCCAAAAGAACCCCGATCAATTTTTAACCGACGAACTGATCACTAACGTAGATAAGGTTAAGGATAACTCCAACTTGCCTTACATTGCAGCCAAGTTTCCTCAGAGGAATATTCCATATACTTATCATTTAGGTAAGTGAAATATTTCATTAGAACTGGTGTTCTGTGCTTTCGCCCATATAAACAAAATTTTGAATACTGTTTCGATTTGAAATAGTCCAGGAAAATTAGACTTTTCCTACGTTTTTTAAGCAGAAAGAGTCTTAATATTCCTGGGCTATTCCGAATCGAATTCAGAAGACAAGCTAAGGAAAGTTTTATCTTAATGTTTTGTAAAAAAAGCTTGACACTCTTGGTGTCTTGGTAATCCGGTTGCATTGAAATGTTTGATGAAAAAGGATGTTCAAAACATTGAACAAATGTCGATATTTCAGTTAACGTAAAAGCTTTGTACAGGGGGACCAACCAAGAATGCGAGGTACTGTATCTGGGAACCTATCTATCGTAGAGGTTTGCGGAGTTATTACTAAAACAACCAAGAGAAAAACCTGGAAAATATTTTCATGTTTCTGAAGTGGCCACTAGGGGGCGTAACTGCAATCTTGAATCTAAAAAAGTGTTGTTTCTGTGAATTCCGCTATAATAACCTAACAAAAAAATACCTGATCTTTAAATTCGATTATAATCTGAAAATGTTTGTTTGACAATGTTTGCTTTAAAAATAAAGTGGTGGGCGGTTTCCGTAAAAAACATCATCCTGTATCTTCGAAATGGCTGAGCCGATTTTAAGAAACTTGGGCTAGTTGAAAACAGCTATTTTTGGGCTATAAATGTTAGAATATTTGTTTGTTTTTGTTAGTTTCACATGTGGCCGCTAGAGGGCTTTTTTCGACATTTCGACAGAAATGGTTATCCTTCCCAAAAAAATTAAATGCATTAGAATGATTTTATTTTCACGGAAAATTAGCTAAATGATGTCTAAACAAGCTCGCGAAAACCGCATCTCGATATCGTACTACCAACCTAAATTTAGGCAAAAGAAATTTTTTTTCGGAAATCCTTTAGATTTTTATTTTCTTAAACTATTTTTTCTGAAATTTCTTTTTATTATTAAGTTGCAGCCCTAAAAAGGACCGATTTAAAAAATAAAGGTTTTTAATGCCCCGGAAATGCTCCAAATGCCGACCATCATGCTACTATATATGCACTCATGAAGCCTCTCGTGGGTAGACAAAACTGCAGCTTTAATTTCAGCTCTCAGTATATTGTATTGCATTACGACTCCGGTTTTTCTTATCTACTCTGGTTGTAGGTATAGTCTGAAACACGATGTCCTTTAACCGTCCCTATAAATAAAAATCAAGACAAGTCTGGTGATCGCGAAGGCCATGAAAACATACTTCCTCTTCCAATCCATCGCTGTTGAAATACTCCAGTAATATGCTCTCGCACAATGATATCAAAATATGCTGGGTAACCATCCAACTGCAAAAAGTTTTGCCGTGTTTCCAGTGGTACATCTTTCCAACAACAACGGTAATTGGGCTCGAAAAAATATGGCCCAATAAGTCTGCCTCACACATTTGAACTCCAACGCCCCTGATGCTGAACTTCACGCAACCAATGCAGATTTTCTGCAGACCAATAATGCATATTGTGCAGATTGACTCTCCTGTCACTATTGAAGGTGGCTTATCGGTCAAAAAAATTTGAAATAAAAATTCTCTATTTTCGCGTATCATGCCTAACATCCAATGGCAATAGTCCAATCTCCGATCAAAGTCATCCTTTTTCAAGGCCTGATTCAAAACGACACGATATGGGTGCATGCTAAGAGTAATTAAAAAAAAGTTAAATTTAAATAAATCCCTATATTTTGATGGCCTTTAGAACTTACGTATGGTGCTTCAAAATATTTTGAAGCGTTGTCGTGATATGCCCAACTTAAGGGATAATGCCCTTGTGCTAACATGAAGAGGTACGCGGTTAATATTTTCTTGTGTTCTTCCAATTCTTTGCCGTTGAAACTTCGGCCGAAAACTACCATTGACTCGTAAGCTCGCCACTAAAAAAAATAGTATCACATTGCAAGGACGCCGATTTGGATATCGAGTCGCGTAAATTTTTTTGCGGCATTCTGAAGACATTCAAAACTAAACTGCAAGAATATCAACAGCTTCATCGTTCGTAAAACGCATTTGGTAAGCACAAAAATTGATCAAAGTAACGCGAACTATTGACAACTGTTGACAATTTGAGGATTATTTATGTTTTGATTAGCTATTTGTTTTGTTATATTCCACGGCCTGTTTCTATTAATTGTCTTTTTCGTATATACCCATAGTGAATATCCATTTAAACAAAAAATATGCCTTTTGTTATTAGTATTACTTAGTTTTTAGCGATATTTTGTAATATTTTCAAAAAGGGTGATTTTACTGTGATGAATAAAAAAGAATTCCAGAAAAATTAGTTTAAAAAAATAAAAATCTATGGGATATTCTGTATAAAATTTTCTTTGGCCTAAATTTTAGGCTAAGAACTAGATATTGAGATGCGGTTTTCGCGAGCTTGCTTAGACATTATTTAGATACTTTTTCATAAAAAAAATCATACCAATGCATTTAATTTTGTTTGAGAAAATTAAGCATTTCTGTCGGAATGTCGAAAAAAGCCCTCTAGCGGTCACATATGAAACTAACAAAACTTCAAATATTGTAACATTTGTAGCCCAAGAACAGCTCTTTTCAACTAGCTCATGTTTGTTGAAATCGAATTTTTGTACGGAAAGTTTTGAATACCTCCCACCACTTTATTTTTAGAGATACATAAGAAATTTTCAAACAAAAAAAGTTCACATTATCCACGACTTTAAAGACTAGGTATTTTTTGTTAGGTTAATATAGCATTGTTCACAGAAACATCACTTTTTTAGATTCAAGATTGCAGTAAGCCTCATAGCGGTCATTTTACAAACTTGAAAATATTTTCCAGGTTTTCTCTCGGCTGTTTTAGTGAGACTTTTTTTGCCGCAAGCCTCTAAGATGGATAGATTTCCAGATACCGTACCTCATATACTTAGTTGGCCACACTGTACATACAGTGCGAGTTTTTACTGTAATTCCGTTATTACGTATGCTATCTAAGAAAGTTATTTACTGAAATGGTAGCCAACAGAGCGCTCCTTGCTTCGAAAATATTTTTATCTCAGAGTGATTCATAACTATTTAGTGATTCAAACATGCACAATTTCAAATGGAAGGGTAAACATTTTATTGTAGATTTGGATAGACTTTCAAACGAAGCTATTTTATTTAACCTACTATAGGGACTTCAAATTGTTGAGATATTGGACAAACTGTCGAAACTTTGAAAACTCATGCATCCCCAACTGTTATAGCTAGAATTCTGAATTTCTTGTCATAAATATTTCATGATCCCATATTGTGTTCCTAACAGTTTATTGGGCAGTTTATATGATATAGTTTCACATTTCTTGATTCCCACTTCTACAAGCTGATCTTTAATATGTGTATGGAGGATTGTATGACTGGTTTTCTAGTTACTGCTAATCCTTTTATAAATCAGGTGTCAAGATAAATGAAAAATATGACATTACCTATCAAAATAAAGAATAACTCTCAGTTGGTAATGGGTGATATTTAGAATTGATGTATTGTCAATATAAAGTAAATCTACCCAGCCTCATGCAATAAAGTCGAAAGGTCAAGAAGGTGTCAGTCAGTTTTTTGTAACTCAAAAACCATCCGTACAGTCCCGTAAACCGTATTGTGAATTAATGAACGTGTAATTAATAGGAATTATGATAAATTTCCGAGTATTACGATCAGTTATTAAGGAATGTTGATGCTTGAAGAGAGGATTTCTTGAAACTGGATAAGTTATTGGGACTTACTAGGAATTTTGGGGAAATATTTCCGTTATTATATGGATATTGGCAGCGATTGATCCTTTGGCTGTCTCCTTTGTTAGAAAAAGAGAAATCGATCTAGCTCCCTTCTAACAAAGTTTTCCATCCAGGTACTGGAGAAGTGAATGACGGTTTTATAAACCACAAACTACAACACGGCAAAAGGTACCGAATTTTCGTTCGAGCTGTAGTAGATACGCCTCAGAAACATTTATACACCAGCAGTCCATTTTCTGAGTTCCTGTCGCTGGATATGCGAGAAGTACCACCTGGAGAACCACCATCCAGGCCGGATCCTAATACGCCATCTGTCGATGTTAGCAAGGTAAATAAAAAACTTTATGATGGTCTCATAAAGGTGTGCTAATGGTTACAGCAGGCCCCTAGAGGCCAAATAGAACATGACATGGTAATATAATTTTGAAAAAATGCACTTTTGTTTGAAATTGATATGAGGTACTTTTGGAAGAAGTATACTATTAAAAATTTTTAGAATATTTTCGGCAGATTTCGCATTCAACCCGTTAGTTCGGTGGATGAATGAATTCGAATAGATCAGGAGTTAAGCTTATATGTTTACATTGCGCTGTTTATCGCCAAAATTGCTTAGTCTTATTGCACCAAAGTGGCAGCGTTCCATGAACATAATCATAATCCTTACCAGCGGCAAGATCTACCTTCATTAGGCTTGCGCCGCTCTTTACATATTATGTAAGGAATGCGATGTCTTGAAATTGTCTAACTTCACAATTGTCTGAAACACTCGCACTAAAATAGGACTAAATATACGAATTGAATGACAGAAATGTAAAAAAATTTACTTACGGCAAGTGCACTTTGATCCCCTAATAGACGATGAAAATTAGAAGACAAGTCAGATCCTTGACTGGCTCCTTCGACCTAGTCTGAATTTGTTGGGTAGAATAGTACTAAAATCGGTAGATCTGTCGAACAATAATTGGTAGACCTCTGGTAACACTGCCTTAGGGGGCAATATTCTAATCTCGAAAATAAAAATGTGTGTTCGTAAATAAAGGACTTATTAAATCTATGAGGATATATAATATACAAAATCTACAATGGGCTTCTCAACTGAAGTATCTATCAGATTTATCAACCACTGTCGTGTGGGTTATCATGTTTGATTTTCCTAGACTTAGATATTAACATTTTAATGCATTTAGTGGTCATGCCATTTTCCATTTATTTTTCAAGAATTTTTAAACATCCCTCCAACCTTTTGTTATGCTAAAATATTATTAATAATCAGCATGAAAACAATATAAAACTATTCTTTTTTGTATTCAGAGGAAAGCAAGGCACATGCTTTATTGAGGTATTTTTGTCTGCAAACAATCATTCTTATATCAAAAGACATTGCTTCCTACAAGTTTAGATACTCAATCCCGTGTCATAACCTCATCTGTCATGCCCTAAGTTCGATTTTGTAATTGTGATACATAGACTCAGTAACAAAGAAAATAGAACACTCAGTAAAAATGTCTTTGTTGTCATAGATGCATCTGAATTATATATTCTATATTTGCTGTACGAGGAGTGTTCAGAAAATAAATGGATTTTTTTAGCTTCGCGGGTTTGGAGAGTCCGATTGTCAAAACATTTTTTTATTTTGTTGGTATAAATGTCCCTGAAGTATGGTAAAATTTTCAGGCGTATTCATTGTTTACTTTGTCTTTTGGTTTGTTACAAAAAATGAATCAAAGAATGTGTATCAAATTTTGCGTAAAAAAATTGTAAAAAGGTGTGTGAAATGTTAACAAAGGTCTGTGGTGGGTCTGTTATGGGTAAAACATGAATTTACTCGTGGTATAAGCGTTTCCAATATGAAGACGTTGAAGATAACAAAACGCCCCGGACGCCCCAGCTCAATAACCGATGAAAACGTGAAAATAGTGAAAGAAATAGACTATCGCCGAATCACCATCAGATAAGTCGCTGATGGCAAATCGATTGGTACACTCCATGAAATAATTTTGTCGATTGATTTGGGTAATTTTGAACAATAACAGCGGCGAATGGAAGTTGCTCAGGAGTCACCAAATGAAGTCAACGACGATACAGAAATTCTGAATAATGCCTTTACGTGTAAGACGTCGGAACTAAGCCTCAATCGTCCTAGTGGAGGCATTTTGGCTGTGATTCTAATCGCACAGTGCATCATGAATTCTTGCCATGAGATCAAACGGCTAATACAGAGTACTGCCTACAAGTTCAACGTCGTTTGCGTGAGAGCAATCCGTAAAAAAGTGGACAATTCCTGGCTTTTGCGCCACGATAATGTAACTGCTCACACTTCATTGCTTGTTTTTGGTCAAAAACAATACTTTAACGATGTCCCAGCATCCATATTCGTTATATATAGCTCAGTGTGACTTTTCCTATTTCAAAAAATAAAGATAATCTTAAAGTGGCTTCGCTTTACAGGCTTAGGTGACATCAAAAGCGTATCGCTGAAAGAGTTGGACACTATCTCAAAGATCGAGTTTGAAAAGTGTTTCGAGGATTGGCATGATATCTATTTTGAAGGCGACAACATAAATGTAGATGAATAAATACATATTTCATGAACACGCCTCGTATATAACAGTTAACTACTCATAAAAAGCGAGTGTAAGACTGAATGTGGGAAACTCGTACCAATAATTTTTGTAATCTAATTTCATTCTCAAATTTTTAGGTGAGCTCCCAGAAGAAAGACGCAGGCGTCTTTTGGATAATTGGACCCATAATAGCAGCGCTTCTGTTATCGATAATTTTAGTGATATTGTTCATACTGCGTAAGCGAAGACAACCATGTAAGACGCCTGATCAGACAGCTGTTACCCGTCCTTTGATTCAAGCGGATCTCAATAGCAGTATTGCTCCTAGCGATCCGGTTGAGATTAGAAGGTTAGTTTTTTTTTATTTTGTACATAAGTATGAGAAAAGGCTCATTCAAGTTGAAAATGAAATAAGTGAAATTAATCTTTGGCTCTACTGGCTACATGCTCTGTTGTCAATTTTTCCATTTTCCATAAATATTAATTTTGCGTAAAGGTGTTGGAATTTTGTTGATGCAGTATTGGGTTTCCATCTCCAATTCAAGAGTGTCTACGAGTTTCTTTCTGAGTAAGTTGTATAATGTTTGTGCATGACCTGTGGTTTCACCAAGACGATGCTACACATGCCAAACAGCCAGTGAAACAATTGATTTGCTGAATGAAATCTTCCTTTTCGTTTCGGTGATTAGGGCAGGCATCCTACCAAAAAGCCAGATAATCCAAAATAGTATAAAAATAAAGCAACATGTATAGTAGTACTTGAAAATATTCCACTTGGAAATGTTTACCAAGTATCTTTTGTTTGTCCATTTTTTCCATGTTGGAAGTCAAGAATGCTTATCGTGGTGGTTTCAGCAATGTCTCTTTGGACTTCCTATTTTTCGTTTATGTTACTATGTGAATTCCTCATCTAGCTTACCTCTTGCAGCTAAGGCTGCCATCTCTGGTATGGCCTCAATCTTATTATTACCGCTGTTTGATGAATCTTATTTTCTATCGTAATTCTAATCCCCCAGTTAAAAAAAGCAAGGTCCGACAAAAAGTCAATCATACACGTATATCAATATAAAATGTAACAACTATGGCAGTCGTTTATATACAGGGTGTTAATTATGTACCATAAATTAAACACGATTTTTTGAGGAATTTTAAGACAAAAAATTCATATAATATAATAAGGGAGGCCCAGATACAGGGTGTTAAAATAAAAAAAAGGCTTTTCGTAAATATACTGAATATACCTAATTATGTTGTAATTTGGCCGAGGTGTTTATAACATTAAGGAGCTAATTTAGCTCTAAGTTGATTAAATTTATTAAGCCCAGTGGTGTCTGACTTTAGTGCAATTTTTTTATGTTCATTGGGTTAAGCGAACAGAAATACAACTTTTTTTTTCTCTTGCATTTTTCCGTATCTTGCTTAGTTTTCGTGAAAAAGAAGTCCACTTAACTGCATATCCGTGGACCAAATTTTCTTTTGGAAATTATTTTTTTATAATTTTATATTACTAATTATGTAATAGCAACAAATAAACACTAAATTAATTTACATTAACATCTAAACTAATGAATAGTAAATAATAAAGGGAATGCCTTGGGAAACGATTGCAGCATTTAGTAAACAACTTGACAGTCGCCAACTTAGAATTTATAAACTATTGATTTATAATTTTTATAAAAAGTGTTTTTAGTGCTTATTTTTCGTCCAATATGGTTCAATTCACTAATAGTGAAATAGCATTTCTGTTATGGAATGGCTCAAGGAAACTCTATTGCTGCAAGACGCATTTACCATGAAAGACTTCTTCAGCGTGTAGTGCCTAGTAAAAGAACATTTATACTCCTACGTCTCCATGCACGACTTTCTGAAACAGGCAGCTTTATAAAAGGTCGACGGTTGTCATCGAGAAGCCTGCAACGGTAAGAACAGTTCAAATTGAAGAAGCCGTTTTAAAAGAAATTGAAGCCATATCCTCATACCAGTACTCGGAAAATAACTGAAGAACTGAATATTACCCATGTCACAGTGTGGCAGATTTTAAGAGGCCAGCAGCTATATCCATATCATACACAACGTGTGCAAGCTCTATTGCTCAGACATTTGCCGTCAAGACTAGCTTTTCTGACTGGTTTCGCAGTAAAATGATAAGGAATCCAGGTTTTCTAAGTCGAATATTGTTTACAGATGAAGCTTTTTTTCTCGCAATTCAATTAATAACTTCCACAATAGTCACATTTGGGCCGAAAACAATCCACATCCTTCAACAGAACATACTTTTTCAGAACAGTTTTCTTTTAATCAAGTGTTTTTTCCAAAGTGCTAGTTTTGAACCATTCAATATAATAATTGTTTTTTTATCTTATGGCATATGGTAGCATACCACATAAGTTTAAATTTGAGGAAATAAGTTGGCGCTTTATAGTTTATAATTTTATATAATTTAATCTTTTCGATGATTTCCTGCACTATAAAAAAATTGTCGCATGACTTCGATTGGTGTGTGCTTACTGCAATTTAATAGTATCCTCACTGACAGGAAATTAATAATGATGACCAATAATTTTTCTCTAGCATTTGCCAGTGTTGAAGTTTAATTACTCTGCATTGTAGGGGAGAAAAAGTGATTATGTTGATGTACTTTATTTTGAAATCATATGTCCAATGAAGACAGGTAAAAATAAGCAGCAGCTATATCTATATCATATACAACGTTTGCAAGCTCAATTGCTCAGAAATTTGCTTTGAAGACTAGCTTTTCTGACTGGCTTCGCAGTAAAATGATAAGAAATCCAGGTTTTCTAATTTGAATATTGTTTACAGATGAAGCTTGTTGTTCTTGCAATTCAACTATTAACTTCCACAACATGCACATTTGGGCCGAAAACAATCCACATGCCTGAATAGAACAATACTTTTTAAGAACATTTTTCTTATATTAATATATGGGTTGGAATTGTCGGTGACCATTTCATTGGGCCTCATTTTCTTCCACCTAGGCCCACACCTACATTATTTTCTCTAGAGACACCTTAAGGCGTTGTATACAAAACTCCCGTTGGATTATTTTATGGAATAGAAACATTAATTCATGTGACATAATAAAAAAATACGCCAGGTATTTTCAGGAGATTGCGTAATTCAATGATGATGCGGTTAGACGGTTGTATTGGGCCATTTCCACCACTGGATTTATCGAAATTTGTTAGTCTAGATGTTATTATTATTTAGTATTTGTAGTTGTTGTTACATAATTAGAAATAAAAAATTATAAAAAAATTATATTTTCCAAAATAAACTTTTCCCCATATTCCTTGTGTGGTCCAGAGATATGCAATTAAGTTGATATCTTTTTTCTCGAAAACTGAGCAGGATACGAACAAAATTCAAGAAACAAAAAAGTTGTATTTCTATTTGCTTAATCCAAAGAACATAATAAAAATCGCACAAAAGTCAGCGGCGTACATTTTTGCCACAAATATTTGTTCAGATCCCGCTCGAGGCGCCACTGGGCTTAATAAATTTAATCAAATTAGAGCAAAAGTAGCTCCTTAATGTTATAAACACCGCGGCTAAAGTACAACAAAATTAGGTGAAGGATTTAAGAACTTTACGAAAAAACATTTTTTTTTTAATTTTTACACCCTGTATCTTGATAACGAAGAATTTGCGGACCTATGTTAATATAAACTTTTTGTCTTAAAATTACTCAAAGAATCGTCTGTTGAATTTATGGTACATACTGAATTAACACCCTGTATCAGACCACACTTGAACTTTTTGCTGTTTCAATGAGGTATAGTAATACCATACTCATAATCAAATCTGCTATAATTTTCAATTTTTAGGTTGAACTTTCAAACTCCCGCGATGATCTCGCATCCACCTATCCCGATCTCCGAACTAGCAGCTCACATCGAACAGCTGAAAGCGAACGACAATCTCAAATTTTCTCAAGAATACGAGAGCATCGAACCCGGCCAAACGTTCACTTGGGACCATTCAAATATGGATGTGAACAAACCAAAGAACAGATATGCGAATGTTATAGCGTACGATCATAGTCGAGTGATACTGCCTAGCGAGAATGGGGTGCTAGGCACGGATTATATAAATGCGAATTATTGTGATGGATATAGGAAACATAATGCGTATGTGGCTACCCAGGGACCTTTGCAGGTGAGATCCCTTTTTTGTAAACAAGTGTCAAGTTTTAGAACTAAGTTACTTTTTGTTTGAAAATCATGTAGAACTAGCTCAAGTGGCATTTTTGTTATTTTTTGTTTTACTTCCTATGCCAGTTGCCAAGAAAGTTTTGTAATTCTTTTCAAAATCAAACAATATTTTGGGATATTTAATGAAATGTACATCACGGAACGTGACAGCAGAGATACGGCCAAAAAGAACGCTTTTTGACGTTTTAGAAAATGTTTATTATTCTTGAAAATCTTTTGACTGCTTTTTAAAGGATTGGAACTGAAGAGTTGCAAGGAGCTGGACACGGCATGTCTAATTTCTTCCATAAAAACGGTGTTTATTTAGTTGTAAGCTACAATATTACATGAACAGGAAGATAAAAATCACAGATCACTTGGAACTAAAGTATAAAGTATTTAATTTCCTCTTAAATTTTGTTATATTTTGGTATTTCTAGTGGTAAACCATTATAAGTTCTTAAACCTTGAACACAAAGTGTTTTTCCGAAGTAATAGTTTTGAACCGTTCAATATAATAATTGTCTTTTGATAAGTTTAAATTTGAGGAAATAAGTTGGAGCTTTATAGTTTATAATTTTATATAATCTAATCTTTTCAATGACTTCCTGCTATATTAAAAAAATAAATTTTGTCGCATGACTTCGATTGGCGTGGGCTTACTGCAATTTAATAGTATGTATTTCGATACAGCTATTTAACGATTGAGCCTCTGATTATCATCTACTGAACAGGAAATTAGTGATGAAGTGCAATAATAATTGAAATGTGGATTTATTATTGTGTTATAAATTATTTTTTTACACGTTAAACATATTGCACACATAGATTTTTCTCTTGCATTTGCCAGAGTGGAAATTTAATATTCTGCATTGTAGGGGAGGAAAAGTGATTATGTTGGTGTACTTTATTCTGAAATCATATGTCCAATGAAGACAGGTAAAAATAATAACGATTTTGGGAAAAATCGTTATTTCTCGAACACTCTCGCTTAGATGCTGGGTAACTGTTGTTTCCTACTGTTGTACATAGGGGTCGATAGTAACGCGATTGGCGAATTCCTGAATCTATACGCATCCTGGCGGCCACAACCTGTACCTTAAAAAGAGAGAAACGTTTATTCACGTTAATCAAATCCAATCGAATAACCAAAATGTCTGTGTTATTTGCCGCGGTTATAACGTGGTTTAAGATGCCACACGAGTTGATGACGTCAGTTACTAAAATCGATTGGATGCGTTGGTTTTAACCGTGGTTTTGTTGCAAGTTATTTAGTTTAGAAAAGTGCTTATATAATTTCAGATTATTTTTATTATTACTTAATAATTGGTGCTGTTTCGACTACAACAGAGATATGGAAAGGTTAAAATAGATTCGTAATACTTCAACAATTTGGTGTGAATCACTGTATGCCGGTACTCGATTTGATACAGAACGATGGAAAATTTACTCCCATTTGGCCATGTTTGTTGACAAGCATCAGCGCCAACATCGGTACTGAAAATCGCCAATAGGCGAAACTATATATTAATAGGTGGTAGTATCACTTTTATTTTTCTAACCCAGTATATCGCCAGTTGGATGTTGTAGCTTCTTCGTATGACTTTTTGAGTCGAAAAAAATTGATGAAAGGTGAAATTTGTCGCGTCACGTTTAAAAACCTGTCGATCTTGGCGAAAAATTAATGTACTGAGATGAAAAAAAAAAATAAGAGAATTACTGACTTTTTATTTACCATCTCAGTTCCAAAAATATTTTCGTTATACCTCAGTCTACTGTCATTTTCTCGTTTTTAGGAAACCTTTGCCGACTTTTGGCGCATGTGCTGGGAGTTAAAATCCTCCACGATTGTAATGATGACCAAACTGGAAGAACGCACCCGCATCAAATGTGATCAATACTGGCCAACACGTGGTTCGGAAACCTACGGCGCGATGAGCGTGACCATCACTGATGTCCAGGAGTTGGCTACATACTGTATCAGGACCTTCCAGATCCATAAGGAAGGCCACAGTGAAAGGAGGGAAGTTAAACAGTTGCAGTTCACGGCGTGGCCCGATCACGGAGTGCCTGATCATCCGGCACCTTTCTTACAATTTCTGAGGAGGGTCAGGAGTTTGAATCCGCCTGAGGCAGGGCCGATTATCGTGCATTGTTCGGCCGGTGTTGGAAGGACAGGTTTGCATTTTTTTTTATTTTTGACTTTGTACTATTATAAGTCGTATTTGTACTTTAACAGCTTTGGAGAAACTTAAAAAAGTGTTTTGGCTGAAAAAAAATGAGGCTTATTGACCATTCTCCTGTTTTATGAGAAACTTTGTAAGGTAAAATATAATATAGGCATGTTTGCTTTCCGTCTCTGTAATCGTGACCAACCGCAGACAGCGCTGTTTCGTGCTCGTTATCAACTCGTCAGTGTAGTGCAGGTTTAGTTTTGCAAACGCAGTGGGTGTGATCTTTGGTAGCCACTGTGTTTGCTTCCTATTCGTTTGTCTACACGACTAGACCTATACCGCACTATCAGTTACGAATGAGCACAAAACAGCGCTGAAAACAGAGACACAAAGCAAACATGTGCATTTTATTCTGTATTTGCTAAGTATTCCAACTCCTTGATTTCTCGATCATAAGAAGCTGTTCAAGTATTATGTAGTAAGCAGCTTTCTTACAATTTTTAACCCCTTCCATGCTTACGTACGTGTTGGTAAATAGTTTTCAATTTGTCCTGATTTCTTTATTGGTCATGAGCAGCAATTCTCAAGAATAGAAATGAGGAAAAGCGTTAGGATATAGGAATTTAAAGCACATATTTATTCCAGCAAATTATTATTGACATGGTAATTCAATTATTATAATCTTAATATATTCACGTTAAACACGTTAATTTGTTTTGTTCTTTTAATATTTTATGCACATGCATCCTTGGCTCTAAAATTCTTCAATGGCATTGGATATTTGCTGCTCGATGTTGCGTGCCATTTTCGAATATCGACATCGTTCTCTTTGAGCCAGGCATAAAAGTCGACTAAATATTGTAGATAATCCGAAAAGTACAAAAAAAATTAATATACCTAACATCACCTTCATGGTATAGGAAGGGGATGCACATTAGGTTGACAAACCAAGGTGACTAATCGTCAGATTTTCACCTACTTGCATCTTTTTATGTCTCCCGTTGTTGCAATCAAATGAATCTTAGTACATTTGGGTAATTTGAGGTGTTAAATTCAAATTCGTGAAACGACGTGGGGATGAGTTGAAGGTAAAAATGAGGCGACTAGGGTATCCAGAGGGTTAAAGAGACTAATAGCCGTCATATACTAAATCTATGCGCGCAATTTACCTTGTATATGAGCTTTCGCCTAAAGTAAATTTTTCTCCTAGGAAAAATCAAAATATGGGATTCTGTAAGGGGAAAAATCCATTTTAGGACGAACTAAGGCAAAGCGTTTCGAACACGAAACATAAAGCAGTTTTATTAAATGAAAACTATATTATAAAACGGATTATATGTACGCAGGGACTTCCCCATACAGAACGTTCACATTTTTGTGGGGCATCATCGCTTCGTCAACAGATCAAAGTACATTTCGGACTAGAGATTCGTTTGACATTTTTTGAGCTGATACCGAGTGCTTCAAACTCGATTCTTACTGTTGGGATCTCGGAAACTGTAAGAGATACTGAATCTCATGTGGCTGAGGTTGCGTATTTAGGTAACTAACAAAATGCTGCCTAGAAACTTTCGGTATTCAAAGTACTTCCGGAGAAAGATGAAATTTTTCACAAAATCGGTTTAATTTTCTCCTGACTTTATTTGTAGTGAGATTTTAAAATACTTTTATGATTAACATTGCCACCTTTACTCCTCTACAAGATGACATAACTATAATTTCAATAGAACGCTTTGTCTCCTGTCCACCAGCATCAACTTTATTTTTTATTATGGACGCCATATTGGATTTGTGCACAGATGAATAGAGTTTTTAATTGCCAAACTTAGTTATTTTGTAAAAAGCAGAACTTTCTAGGTAGGCCTTGAAATTATCAGATGGTCATTTGTTTCACATTCCAGAATGATCCTAGCATCATTTATATTTTTTCCTGACTTCATTTGAGATTGGATTTCAAAATAAATTACATGTAAATTTTCACTTCGACATTTCTTCTTTCGACTTCCCTCGCCAACTTTGTTTTTTATATTGACCCTATGTTTTTTATTTAAATGGTCTTTTCAGTTCTAAATTCAGTGATGTATTTCCTTAGCTGGCCATGAATTTATTGTTGGATGTAAATTATAAATAAATAAAAAGGTATGGTGAAACCTAAACACAGAATGAAAATTTTATTGATGGTCATAACAATAATAATCATAAATAAACAGAAATAAATCATAGCAGATGCTCTAAATGTGCGGTATTTTGAAGGCAAAGCCTGACTCTTCTTTGTACATTGCTAGACTTATTTCTCTTCATCTTAGTCTTCAAAACCCTGGTCTGGTATCTGAAACAAATTATTATTTCATAATTTCAATGTCTACCTAGGAACTTCCGTTTTTCTAGAATAAGTAAGGTTTGGCTATGTCAATGTATGACTTTTGTAAAGCATGATTAAAAACTATCCAGCTGGGCAAAAACCCAGTATAACGTCCTTAAGAAATGTCATTGTTAATGTGCAATTTATTTAGAAATCCCACTACAAATAAAACCAGGAAAAAAATTAAAACCATTTTGAGAAAATTCGGTTTTATCTGTCTCTGTACTTTTAGTCTCGAAACTTTCTAAGCAGCATTTTGTCAGATACCTAAATACGCTCCCATTCAAGCGACTTCGTATTTTTTATTATATTGCGTGAACAACAAGCTCATTAGAGTACCCTAAAAAAAAATTTGTATAATCCTTATTGTGTGTCTAGGTTGTTTCATCGTGATCGACTCGATGTTGGAGCGCATGCGTCACGAAAAGACGGTGGACATTTACGGCCACGTGACATGCCTGCGCGCGCAACGCAACTATATGGTGCAGACGGAAGATCAGTACATCTTCATACATGATTCATTGTTAGAGGCGTACGTGTGTGGACAAACTGAAGTGCCGGCAAGGAACCTGCACGCGCATATACAGAGGTGAGTTCGATGCAGATTTAAGATCTTTCTCTACTAACATCGTATCGTATCTAATAAGCTGGGAATTAACTGAGTTTGATGCCATTTTCGCACCAAGACACAATAATTTGCAGGATGTTTTTTAATGATAGGCCGTAATTACAAGGGCGCATTTCTAAACCAAATTTTAAGTAGAACAGTTCATATAAACTTGTGTCTTAAAAAGCCTGGTTTTCAAAGTGAAAAAAAATGTTCTTTTATTTATACCCTAAAGATCCTTGTGTCGATTATGTTGAATTTTGGCAGTATTGTTCATTACAACAAGACATAATGTTAGCACTAATTGAACGATAATTATGAATTCCAGTAGGACCTCGGGGGTTAGTCTCACGAATGATATTGACAAATGTACGCCTCTGTCTTTAAGAAAAATATACTCTGAGAACCAAATTTGTCTGACGGCTTGAGATCAATGTGTACGAGAGAGAAGAGTGTTTAGTCACATATGTTAGAAAGAGATAGAAGCCGCCAGAATATCGAAGCTCATCACCGCGTTGCCTAACAAAACTGACGCGGTAATCTGCCGCGTTGCCAATATCTGACACCAGTTCCTTGAATTAAGATGAATGTTGAAAATATGCGTTAGTTTATTCTTTATATCCAAATGATGGTTCTGTTTTGAGTATACACATTTTTGAATTGTGAATTTTGTCGAATCTGTTTAGGATTCATTCCCGATCGGTCCAAACGGCGCTCCATTTTATTTCGAAATGAAAGATCAGGATAGTCACAAATTCTGCAACATTGCATCATTGGTTCGTTTATTAACACCGCATCTTGTACATTCCAATGCAAGGTTTCCATCTCCATGATCATAGTTGAGTGATGTTGGTCAGTACCCATCTAGTTCTCGTTGGGGAATGTCGCCCTGCTTCGAAATGGTTTTCACCAGCGTACACGCAGGCAGTGATAATCTGTACCGCAGCGCTGTCGCAAAATGTAACAATAACTCAGGATGTGTTGATTTTATCCAGATCAGTGAAAATCAAAGATAATTTTAAAATAAATTAAAACACTATTGAAATAAATAATTCTAATCAAAATGAAAACAAAATATTAAATTAAATATTGAATAGACCTCTGTTTTGGGTTTGACAGTAACCTAACCTATTGTAGCAGTCTTTGCGAACATTTTCTGGGGAACATATTGGTAACGCGTTTATGACCACCCTGTATAAGCAAAAATGAAAATTCGGGAAAGTAACAAATAAGATAAAAGCTGAGGTGTGTAAGTTTTTTTTATACAAAATTCAAAATGGCGGATTGAGGGGTTGCCGAAGTGGGGGGGTTTTCTAGACAATTAGCTAGCTAATTACCAAAACCCCATAGTATATCAATGTTTCTCTTTTGAATTGGTTTATCCAAATATGCATTAAAATTTAAGGCACTCCATTTGAAAAATCACAACTTATGTAGGTCAATATTGGGACACCCTGTATAATGGCCAATATTTTAGGAATGTGCCCTCAAATGTCCTGTATAACATCCCATTAATAGATTTTACCAAAATGTATTTTTGTATGAGTAATATTTCGTCCACACATGGATGGGCCATCCTGTATATATATTAGATATAACTTGAGACGGAAGCTTTAATTTTTCACCTATATTAGATATATATATATATATATTTATATTTTTTCTGATTAAGCAGCTAATGATACATCTTTATGACTCATAGTATCCTTTCATATCTTACTTGATTTGCAACGAAAAGATACTTCATTACATGTCGAAAAATTATTAAAATAAGATCAAATCATTTTTGGTCATTGCCACAAGGAATGTTGTTCTCGTATTATGAACATATTTTTGACTTGCCTTGACAGTTTGCTAATATTTCCATCTCTCTCAAAAATCAGTCTTTTGATCTTTCACACTCTGTGTCTTGAAAACCAGACTTTTTAGGACACATGTTAACATGAACTTTCCTACCTGAGTTCAGGAATACTTGGTGTTTCAAATTCGTTCCTCACCATTGGGATCTCGGAAACAGTAAGAGATACAATGTCGCTTAAATGGGAACAAAATTGCGTATTTAGGTAAATAACAAAATGTCGTTTAGAAAGTTTCGAAATATTCAAAGTACTTCCGGAGAGTGTTGAAAAAAAAACGAATTTTCCCAAAATCGTTTCAACTTTTCCTGACTTTCTTTGTAGTGGGATTTCAAAATTAAATTGCACACTAACATTGTCACTTCTCTTTTACAAGGTGGCATAATTAGAATTTCAATATGACGCTTCGTCTCTTGTCCGTTTTCTTGTAGACGCCATGATGGACTTTCACACCAGTGAATAAAGTTTAGAATCTGATTCCAAAAATGTATAATCTTTCATACATTGACATTGGTCAATGTATGACAAAAACTTCATTTGAATGTACGAAATTCCATTATAGCATCCATATGAAAAAACACAGTTGGTGATGGAAGTCGAAACAAGAAACCTCGAATGGAAATTTGGCCACAGCAATTTGTAGACGGAGAAGAAGTGACAATGACAACATGTAATTTACTTTGAAATCCTATCTCAAGGAAAGTCAGGAAAAATAATAGATGATTTTTCGATAAATTTGGTATACAAGACTGTCTGAGAATTGCAAAGCCTACTATATTCACCCATGCAAAAATCCAATATCCTGTCCATGAGAAAAAATAAATATGATGCTGGAGGACAAAGGACGAAACGTCATATTGAAATTCTAATTATACCATCTTGTAAAGGAGAAAAAGTGTGCAATGCAGTTTATTTTGATATCACACTACAAATAAGGACGGAAAACGGTTTTGGGAGAATTCGGTTTTTTTCGTCTCTCTACTGAAGTTCTGCGAATTTCGAAACTTTCTAAGCGGCATTTTGTTAGCTAAGTAACCTCGTACTTCCGACTGTTTACGAGGTCCCAATGGTCAGAGTTGAAATTGAAACAGCCGGTTTACCATTTTATTGGCAAAAATGGCAGGCTGGGCGTCTATGGGAAGGTGCTATGAATCTGTCCATGGAATAGGTTGTATCCTCTAAAAACATTTTTTAACTATTTTATAGAATAATTATTTCTAATATACAGGTTGATGCAACTTGAGCCGGGCGAAAATGCGTCTGGCATGGAGCATGAGTTCAAGAGGCTCAGTAAGATTAAGACTGACTCAACGAGGTTCGCTACAGCTAACCTACCATGTAACAAGCACAAAAATAGATTGGTGAGTATAAAATATTTAGTGAAAAGATACATAACACGAAGACAACTATACAAAATTCGTCTGTTTTCAGGTACATATCTTGCCATTCGAGAGCACAAGGGTGTGCCTGACGCCCATGCGAGGCGTAGAAGGGTCCGATTACATAAACGCCAGTTTTATCGATGGTTATCGGTATAGAAAGGCTTACATTGCCACACAAGGACCAATGGCTGATACCACAGATGATCTGTGGAGAATGCTGTGGGAGCACAATTCTACTATTGTTGTTATGTTGACTAAGTTGAAGGAAATGGGAAGGGTAAGTACAAAAAGTCAATGAAAGGTTATCATTTTGTTTTTATAGAATATCATGAGACATATTTGCAGGGACGCCACTGTTGACGCAATAGAGTAATTTTCGAAGATTAAAAATAAAAACCATTTTTCGACACTCTGTAACTGAAGAACTTATCATCATCATTGCCTATATGTTTACCTTGCATTGTTTGTCGCCAAAATTGCTTAGTTTTAGTGCATACTTTTGATTATTTTGACTACTATTGCCTACCAAAGTGACAACATTATATCAATATAATACGAGGGTCACTATTTATATTTTCAGCCTCGGCAACATCAAGTGTGCTTAGGCTCCATCTGCCGTTCCAATTGCAAGTTTGACATTTTCAAATATAAGCTTCTTCAGAACGTTTTGTCACTTCAGCACGATTTATGTTGTTGATAGCGATTCGAAAACTGTGACTCGGTGAAAAAATGGAATTGACTAGTTAAAATTTTCATTCCATGATCTATTACGACTTTCGACGTGGATTATCAAGGCAGGAATGCATCGATCAACTTACTTCGACTTTTGGTGATGAAGCCCCACCCTTTGCCACTGTGAAACGATGGACTAATTTAATCGTGGTCGCCAGTCTCTTGGCGACGAAAGTCGTGAAGGACGTCCAAAATTAATTGTTCTGATGCAAGATCGTCATGTGACATATTGTGAGATTGAGGCAGCCTTAGGCCACTAGCATACATAAAATATTACATGATCATTCAGCTGTGAGAAATACAAAGGCGGTGCTTCAAAAGACGTGTATAAGTTTGTAACAGGTGATGAATCATAGATCTATGCTTATGAGCCAAAAAGGAAACAGCAGTCGACAGTATGGGTGTTTCGAGACGAGCCAAATCCGGTTCGTCGCACACGAAGCACTTCGAGACAAATGGTCACCTGTTTTTTCGAAAAAACTGGTCATGTGGCAACATTACCTTTGACATAGTGGCAGTGATGTAAATCCTACCAAACGTAACGTTAAATGAATTTTTACAGGCTGCCGTCTCTGGTAGCACTCTAAATTTGAACTACTTTTTTGAATTGTTGTGAATTTGGCTTAGGGACAATATCTCAAATCCTACCAAACTCACTGTGTCTGACTTTTTTCAGGCTGTCACCTCTGGTAGTCTATGTTGCTACTTCTGTTCTAAGCTTCTAGACGTCTAGGCTTTTTGACATGCATTTCTTTACTTTACCAATTTTATTTATAAGAGTGACTAAACTAGCAGTTGAAGTTAGGCATTTACCGTATGAAACGACATTCGAAAAATTCAAGCTTCAAACTTTAGCACACCGATGAATGTGGGGGACCTTATCAAAACTTTTAAGATAAAGGACATCATAAATGTAACATACACTTCTTAAATCTATCGGCTCATCGTCAACTTAGAGGGCATCAATATAAATTATGTAAAGAAAGTGTGCCAAACTACTAAGGAGACATTTTTTATCATCCGAGTGGTTTACAATTGGAATCGGCTAGGCGAAAATCCATCAAATGCTTCGTCTATAATTCAGTTTACAACCGACTAGATAGAGAAATATCCTAATGGCAAAATACATTTATAAATTACACAATGTAATATTTAATCATAACTTTTATTACATCGGTTATTGTTCACTCATCACTATTATGTATATACTTTGAAGTTGAGTCATTAATTTTCAGATAATGATTGTAGAACGAAGATAAACCAAAATATGTGTGTAAAAATAAAAAAATAAATAAAAAAAAATGTTACCTTGTTTAATAAAGTATCGTCCCGACAAGTATTTCAGTGCGGACCTGTATTTGATCGTGCGGTCTTGGAGCAGCATGCCCTGACCTGTGAGGTCTTAAGTCACCTGATTCACGAGCCCTTTGTACTACATTAACAAAGGCACGAGGGGTTGGTTGCACTCGATTGGGAAACCGATTCGCATAAATCCGTGATGCATCCGGGAGCATTTTGTAAAGACTGCCCCCCCGTAAATAAGAATCATGTCCACAAGTTCAGCATTTTCGTAAACATGTGCCATTTTTGATTTCGTTTGAACCACGCAACAAACACTACTACTATTCACTAACGCGTTATCGACTGACGAAAAACATCGTGATAAACGTTTCAAATTCTTTCGCTTTTTTGTTTCCGATGCGATGAACCGGTCAGGCGGATTATATCCGTTGTCGCCAAACACGAACATATAATACTCGTATTATTATTGAGACAGGGCGGTACTCAAACTTCCAAAGGGCTATAACTTTGTTACTTTAATTTTACCAGAAAAATGGTAAAGGAAAAAAACATTTCTTTTGATCAGATCTACTCACTGTTAAAATAAATGACTCAACTTCGAAGATAGATAAATATCTAAATTATTAAATTACGATTTTTAGAAAAATTGAACTCTAGAATTTGAATATGTCTAAAGTGACCAGAAAATTTTAATATTTAATGTTTTATACAATTTTTCTTCAATCCCAGCTTAACAAATAATAGCACAGCTCTAAAATTGTATGTGAATATTCCATTTTTATAGAAGATTTGAGCTGGTGATCTTCTTCTTATCACTCTCTTTTCAAAAAATCTTTGCATTTCTTGATCACTCAATTTGCTGCAAATTGAAATAAAGAATTTGAATATGTCTTAAGTGACCTGAAATTATTAATGTTGCATGCCGTTTTTTCAGCAGCCTCTCTTGTGGACGATTCGTAATACTTTTCATCTGATTGTTTCATGGTGTGTGTACAGATGACTGAAAAATAATGTTATCAGTTTCTGTTTTGTCAAAAAATGCATTTTTTATACAATTTTTCTTCAATCGTATTTTGTTAACAAATAATAGCACAGCTCTAAAATTGTATGTGAATATTCCATTTTTATGGAACAGTTGAACTGGTGATCTTCTTCTTACCACTTTCTTTTCAAAAAATCTTTGCTTTTATTGATCACTTAACTTGCTGCAAAATGAGGTTTCAAGGATTTTTCGAAGAGAAAAAATCACAAGAATAAAAGTAATCACTCTACTATAAAACATTTCTGTCATTCAATTTCAAAGCTGTGCAAGTACAAGTTACGATTCAAGAAAACATGCACATTAGAATACACAAGAAATCCTTTTTTTGGCAAAAAAATGATAAAATATTTTTTAGTCATCTCTATACACACCACGAAATAGTCATATGAAAGGTCCAGGCAGGACATGCGACCTTAAAAAGGCAGAATTCACAATAATCGAGTTATTTTTTTATATCTTGAACCACCACGGAGGCTTAAGGCCTAAACACCGATGGGGTACCGTGGGGCTATATCTAAAAACGGCCAGAATAAATTATACTATGGTTGATTCTAGTCGTCTAGGCTTTTTGATGTGTTTTTTTTGTTTTACTTAATTGCGTTTATTTTTTTAGGAAAAGTGCCATCAGTACTGGCCCAGCGAACGGTCTGTCCGCTACCAATGCTTCGTGGTAGACCCAATAGCCGAATACAACATGCCACAGTATATCCTGCGTGAGTTTAAAGTAACGGACGCCAGAGACGGGTCATCGAGGACGATCAGGCAGTTCCAGTTTACGGATTGGCCGGAACAGGGAGTGCCTAAATCTGGGGAAGGGTTCATCGATTTCATTGGACAGGTGCATAAGACCAAGGAGCAGTTTGGGCAGGATGGACCCATTACAGTGCATTGCAGGTTAGTACTCTAGTAGCATTCATAAATCCTTCGTTACCACTCATTAGTTTATGAGACCCTGACAACTTTGAAAAAATATTTTCAGACAATACCAATTTGCAACACTTACTCAATTATTGTATGTTCAACGCCCCTTAAAGCAGGAGACCCGGCGAAATAAGAAAAAAGTGATAACAGCAAAAGAGAATAATAGGCTTGTGGCATTCCATATTTTGACTAGGAATCCAATCAGGTTCATGCCTGTCTGCTAGAGCTCCTATAAAATACACGTTTATTTCCACCAATTTTGGTTATTCTTCATCTTCAATGACGTAATCCATAAATCTCTTCGCACTTTGGACAAAAGATTGAGTTTTTATCCAAACAATGAACCTGTTACGGTTCCTCTCGTTAAACAATTCATCACCGCACAAAGGGAGGCTTTTCAGCAGTTCTTCGCAAATAGATGAATAACGGTAACAAATTCTAATAGATTTCCGACTATTTACAGGAATGATGTAGAAGACATAATCAAAAATATGTAGTTAAATGGCAATCGTTTATTGCTGTTCGTATGGCGGATCTGTCAAAGCACAGCGGTGCCAGATGGGTCGGACAAACTTTCCCCAGAACAAAAATCCGTCACAGTTTTTCGAAAAAAAATCCCCCAAGTCACAGTTAATTAATGGAATGGGCTTAGTTCAAAGAGCTCGGGATGCTTTCTATTCGCGAAATGTGTGATATCCCAAAGAACATTATATCCCCAAAAAGTTCCCCAAGTAAAAATCCCAAAATTTGTGGGAAAATCACTCAACATAGCGACCCTGTCAAAGCACCACTCCTGGCGTCAAGTTCAGGGGTCATTTTTACAGCACAAACAGCATTGCCGTCACTTATCCTGGTATATAAGCTCAATGTACAAATTGTCCAGAAAACAATTAAAGTTGTCATTTTATTACATATTTTTTATAAATAGTGTGTATTATTTCAGGATTCTTAATTGCTCAAAATATATATATTGTTTTATAGGACGGTAACCCTTGAATAGTGACCGTGCAAAATTTATTTTTAGTAATGACCAAGGGTTAAGGGTGCAAGAAATGCTATACTTGGAAGCTCACCTACAGGTTGCATCGTTTGCATCGTTACAGTCTTGTTTCTGCAGCAATTCCCTTAAAAGTAATAAAAGAGGTTGTATTTTCTTTTTACTGAAACATGACAGCTATTGGAACAGATTGATATTTTTCTATCTTATGAGGTCATTGTTTAACCTGCAGTGGCTTGTGACAATCTCAAGCAGATTTAGCGATTCTACTTTTATTCCATCGTTTGTCGCTTGTTTGGGGCTTGTTGTGAACTACTTGAACGGCTGGATGAATGTTGTGGTGAAGTATTTATTCACTTCAGAAATATAGATATGTACTTTTTTGGCAAAAAATAAAACGTCAAAAATCGCCAGAAAACCTCGAAAAGTAATACAACGACGCCCAACTTCTGTCGGCTATTTTACTTCCTGGGTATAATCTTAACGTCTTTTAGTTCCCAATCAGTGAAGAGCCTTTTGTCCCTATAGTCTTGCCAAGGCAATCTCACGGTTCATTCTTGAGCGCGGCAGATTAGAATGCTTCCTGGGAAATAATCCGAAATTCAGGCAGCTGATGATCCTGTATTCTCTATAGTAGGCACTGCGAACAGGCAAGTTCACACTACTTAGGCCCCATTGGGCACCTTGTACATCCTCTCCAGGATGTCAGTGGTTCTTCAGCCACCCCAGACTGTTGAAAAATCTGGTGATGTGACATAGTGGAGTTTCTTTTACTTTAGGTATAGAAGGTCAGCGTTGCCCCATAATGAATTCTCGGGTTAATAGGACATTTGGACAGTCGCAGAGCAAGTACTTAACTGTCTCATCTTCCTGTCCACAGTCTCTAGATAAAGATGTCAATCTTATGCTACAGAATTGTTTCCTTAGTTGACAGTGTCTAGTCGCAATGCCTTTGGCACACCGAAATTGTTTTCTGGACATAGACAGGTAGTGTGTTGCTACTTCTTCATTAGGAGAGTTGAGGAATTCCTTAACGAATTAGCAGCCCGACGTATCACTCCATATTTTATTTCTGAGTATGCTCTTTTAGCAGAGTTGTCAGTGCTCCGATGGATAAAATGCAGAGGGGTTCTGGGCCTAGAACTGTACTATCAGCCTTTTTTGTCCATCTATCTGCTATAATATTACCCTTGCATTGTGACTGACCCTTCACCCAGCCACGTTATGTTGTTAGTCCTGGAGGCACTTGCAAGTGCTAAATGACTCCCAGAACAGTACTAGAGAATAGCCTTGTTGTAAGCTTGGAACAACAGAGACTCAGTATTGCCTGACAGCTCCATCATCTCATCATCAGCTGATGACATTAAATCGAGGTTATGAATGCATAAATTAAAATAATATATTCCTAGGTATTAGATCTTTAGTGATGAGACCGTTGGACGGCAGCTAGATTTCCACATTTTTTTCCTCTTTATAATGACCTGGGGAGTGACTCTTCTATCGATGTTGTTCTTCTGCTGTTCTTTGAAAAGTAATAGATTCAAACCCACTTTCTTCTAGTTGTTCTACTCACTAATCTTTAGGAATGTAACTTTTGAGTTAGATTAAATCTTGTTGAATATTCTGTTAGCTGAGTGTTAGTTCCTGTATTTATCTTCATATAAAACAGCTAACGATTTTTCTTTTTGTTTCAGTGCTGGTGTGGGTAGAACAGGTGTATTTATAACGTTGAGTATAGTGCTAGAGAGGATGCAGTATGAAGGGGTAGTCGACGTATTCCAAACAACTAGGATCTTACGGACTCAAAGGCCAGCGATGGTACAGACTGAGGTAAGTTTACCAAAAAAGTTGAATTGCATTCTTCCTTGTCAGTCTAGAACTGATTATTTTGTGCTAAGCAAACGTGGGTTAAAACTACCAAACTTCATATTTCTGTATAGCAGTTACATTATCTCAAGCATTTCCAAAATATTTTCTTTAATTACGCCTCTCTCGCCTATTTAAGGTCAATGCTGGCACGCATGCTACTCAAAATAACCCCCGAGATATAGTTTAATATAGTGTATAATTTTTCTATCAATCTTTCATGTATAGTTGAGAGTTATGTATGAAAAATACCTGTCTCAAGAATCTGAACAAACCTGAACACTCGTGATTGCGCTTTCCATTACTTTTCTGTAGGTTTCGGAAGGAATATTTTGAATTGGATTCCGAATATTTCTCTTCAGCTGCTCACTAGTAATTGGTTTGTCGGCCTCCACAGAAGAAATTCTGGGGCCGTCAAATCTGGTAATCTTGGGGGTCTGATGTCATTGCCTCATGGGGGATCAAACCCTGTGAAAACTTGCTTCGCAAATGTTCATCGTTTCTGTAGCCATGTGGCAGTTTCGTTTTAATCTGCTTTTTATAAGTTAATTTGTTGCATTTTAGGAGCCACAAGATTTGCATTATATTGCGTTGACGCTTTCCATGTGCCAGTAAATGCTTGACTTTTTTTATCTAACCATTAGGCGGTACCATCTGGCCTCGAAGATCACCAGATTTTTACCGTCCTAGACTTCTTCCCGTGACGATTTCTAAGAAATACGGTTTATTTCAACGAAACAAGCACTACAGAGCAGTTGCCGAGCAACATTTGGGAAGCAATTCAGAACATTCCTGTCTAAACTCGACAACTGTCAAAATGTGGTGAAGATAAAACGATCTTCCAGTTCAACAGCAACGTTGTGATGCTGCTCAAGTTTTATATGATCAATTGTTTAATTTTCCTATAACAGTTTTCTTGATTTTCTTTTATAAACTGGGATAATGTGAGAACACAAAACACAATTTTTGAATCGACTGTTTAACGCCCGTTAGTCTCATACAATCTGTTTTTTAAACGTTTCTGTGAATTTGTTTATGGTGAAAATTGAAAGCATCGAGTTTCTCATAAGAGCTCATTTAAATGTAATCGGGATTATCTAAGGAACAAATCCATCGATTACATAACAATAAATAATAAAAAAAATAGTTCACATTAGATAAGAGGTATTTCTAAACATCAACAAGATTATGGGCCAATTTCACCAACATTAATATTATGGACCAATGGGAAAATACCTTATCGAAATGCAATTTGACGAAAGCTGTCAAAGGTCTCTGAATATTAGTGATTTCTTTTGAAATATTGAATAAAATCGTGAAAATTCGACTGTATTATAAACAAGACCACTTTTTGATTCCAACATGACGCTTTTGTACAGAAAAAAACAGGACAACTTTTATGTCTTTTGATATATGTTATAGGTTTACATTTAACAATCTGTTATCCCCCTCAGCGAATGAGAATGCGGCAAATAATAGGTCGATTTTCTAGCTGTTAAATTTGGCAGCAGATTTGGACGTTTGTTAATGCATGGCACTCTTGAATTTACAAACTTCAATATACTGAAAGTTATCATTACATACCTGTTGAATAGTGTGGATTTATCTGTATTTTGTAAGAAAATAGAATATAAAATACGTTCCATCCAATTCCTCATCTTCCTTTATGTCATAATAGTAATCATTTATTAATTTATGGGATAATGAATTTCTTCAAAGCAATAAAAACATTATGTCCTCTCCATCCTAAAACACAGATAACATGTGTAAGACGTGTCAATCCCTACATCGCCCTGATGCATAATGCAATTACTATGGACATAGACAAAAAATTATGAAAAATGTTTCCCAGATAATGGCTGTTAAGTTCAAAAATCAAAAAAACTAGTAATGCTTACTGTTTGTTTATTTTTTTTTGACTGGCGGGGATATCTATCTGACACTCGCAGGGTTGCCAAGTCTAACAACGATCACGTCCCGTGGTGGAGGGTGCGAAATGAATCTTTTACATTATCTGGTTTTGCATTTTTTTCGTGAAAATTTACTAGGTATCATTGATTATAAGCATCTTTGGTGGATTGTTCTATCTCCTATTTATGAAAATATTTTTGGTATCATCTAACCGTTGCAATCAGTGCACAAGCAATGTGACATATGATTTATAGCATAACCCGCTGCCCTATCAATACAAATTTGACATACAGGTCGCCTAGCCGTGGGAATGCAGTGGTCGGGATGAATATCACGCCAGCAACTGATGATTTGGGCATGTCTGGTAAGAACGTATGAAGTGAAACTCGCTAACTTCACAAATTTGAAGATTTTCTACAATTTCTTTGAAAATGATGAAAGATATGTCTGATTTGGCAGGGTAATGTCGCAGCCAAATGGCAGTCACTCGTTCTGACACAGTCCGGATCGAAAGATGACGATACTCGTGAAATGTATTGATACTTCTAAATATAGGATCCTATCGAACATCCCTACTGTCAAGATGTATAACCCAAGGTACCGACGGAGCTATTTTGCGGCGTCATGGAAATAAGTTTAAATTTTCATTTGCATTTTTTCGAGTGTTGTGCAATGATTTTGGGGAAAATGTCACGAATAGTCTTATAAAGCATAGGAACTTACTCCACTGGGACCAGGAGGGTGAAACGGGATATTAATGCACAATCTGGCAACCCTATCGCACCCTCACAAAATGGCCGCTGACAACCACATAAGTCACCGTGTTGTGATTGAATAGCATGGAATTAAACCTTCAGAGTATGTTTTGTGACCTGGTACCAAGAGTTGACAGAGCCCACACATGTGTCACTCCTTGAAATGCAATAATCAGCTGTATTCAAATAACCTCTAATATAAATATAACCCAGAATATCTACTCAGTGAAAAAAGAAAAATATTGCAAATTTCTAGTTTTTCTACAGGTTTTAGGTTTGCTGGTAGCTCTACGACATATATTTGGGTATTTCTTAATCGCTAATATAGTGTGGATGTTTGTTAAGATTCCTGAACAACAAAAAATATTCAACTTTATCGATGTGTGGATATTAAAAAACCAGAATAGTTTTGTGGGAATATCAATCTAAGGTGACATAATGGTTCTGATGAACGGCAAGTAAATGAATGAACGTTTGGAAACGAGCAATATCTATGAACTTTTTGGTAGAGCTAGTCATCAAGTAGGTGCTTAATGGCTATCTGCAACAGGTTTATTGGAAAAAACAACCAGTAGATGATCTTGAATCAGTAAAATCGCATTTCAATTGAAGAAAATAATATTATCATGAATAAAAAATCAACAATGGTACTTAAAACATGAATTTTATTCAAAAATCAAACATTTGTTTAAATTTTAGCTATTGGTTGCTAAAATTTGTTGATTGGAACTTGAAGCTCATTCGCTGTATTTGACGGACTGTTTCCCTATAGGTGGAGAATAACGGACTGTTGTTGGTGAAATTGGCCCTATATGTGATAACCAATTTGGCTTTCAAAACCAAAAAATCTATTTTCACATTTAGTGAACAAATATACTCAAATTTAAACGGTAAACAATTCAATTGCTGTTTCTTGTGACTTTTCCAAAGCTTAAAATCGGTTGTTGGTGATTCATCACGGAGCGCTACACGATCCCACGACGCGTCCGTATAGTTAAAACGTTTTACTTGAATAATGAGTCAATTATTGCAACGATTCGAAAGCTACGGCAAGACTTCGGTCGAAATAATGTGGCCAGTGTCAACACCATTCGTCAGTTGGTGCGGAAATTTGAACAAATAGGTGAAGACATTCCATTTATCAGCCGTACCACCACATAATTTTATGCGGCGACTTCAATATAGAATATTACAAAGTACTGAATCTGGAAACCTGAATAGTGTCCTCAGTGAATTGAATTTGTCTTCATCAGTGGGATGGCCGACAAGAATAGGACGTAGTTCAGTCACCACTATTGATCAGATATTTACAAATTTTGAAGACAGTGGTACTTCCTACGCCTTAGAGAATAATGTCAGATCACAGGACAGTCTTCTTCGAATTCCATGAAAACATTTCAATAAAAAACAAAACCAATAATATCTGGAAAAGATGCTATGATGCAGACTCAATAAACAAATTTATATCAGATCTATGTGCTGAGAATTGGTTTCTACGTTTGGATATTTTTTTGAGGTATTTAACTACCATTTCCAAATGAATTTTCACGACGAATGTATACGATTTCAACCATAAGAAAATCGTGAGTGAACGAAGGAATCGTGCGTTCTAGTCACAATTTAAAGGAATTTCATTATTTAACAACAGTAGTTTCAGAATCTAAGTAAGTATATTGAAAAAAAGAGACAACAAAAGAAATTAATAGAACAGACAAAACGAAAGTATTATCAGACAAAAATATTCAATTCCAGCAACAAAACTAAAGCTGGAAGACTATCTGAACTGACCGGAAATAATTAAAAAAAACAATAATATAAATACGACCACTTAATCCAAACAGAAAATCCGTGCTGATGAATTCTATCAGTTTCTTAAAAATAATAATAATAATAATAATAATAAATTTATTTTCCATCAGACATGTATAGGTTTCGTCAAAAAGATACAATAAGTAAATATGTACAAAGTAAATAAATAAAAAACAAACAAATAACATCCAACAACAAACAAGTTAAAATTAGTGATAAATAACGATATTTAAAAACTGACAAAGTCGCTAATTGCATAAAAACAGTTACTTATAAAGTAGCTTTTCAGCTCAGATTTGAATTGGCCTATTGAGGTGATCCTTTTTATGGACTCAGGCAGGTTGTGAAAAATTTTAGGACCTAAAATACATGGTGATCTGCTGCCTAACTTATAACGCGCAAAAGGTATATGGTTGTCGTTTTGTCTGCGAGTGCCCATTTGATGTATATGACTATTCAAGGTGAAATCATCTTTGTTTAAAAAAGTATAGATAGCCATATTGTAGAGAAAAAGCGAAGGCAGTGTCATTATTTTTAATCTCTTGAATAATTCTCTGCAACTATAAGTGCTGCTTACTCTCACCATACACCTCACCAGCCGTTTTTGACTTAGGAACACCTTAGAAGCGTTCACCGATGAACCCCAGAAGCACAAAGCATACAGCATGCGAGACTTAACCTGACCATGATACAACATCAATAGCTGATTTTCTGGGAAAACAGATCTCAGGTTCTTGAATAAATATGCTTGTGAATTTATTTTTGATGACAGATAATCGCAATGTCCTTTAAAGTTGAGACATTGGTCTAAGTGGAGCCCTAAAAACTTAGTGCTTTTATCACTCTGCAGTGCTGAACCGTTCAGAACAAGCTGAATCGCTGGTATCGACTTTTGAATGTTATGGAACCTTATAACTGTGGTCTTCTCGCTATTAAGAAGTAACTGATTTTCTTCAAACCCGCTATTGATGTTGTACACTAAGGTGTTACATTTATTTATTAAATCAGCCTAGTCTTTATTTGATATAATTATGGAGGCATCGTCTGCATACAACGTGAAATGTGCTTCAGGGAAACATTGCTCCAGGTTATTTATATAAAGGGAAAACAGCACTGACCCCAATATAGATCCTTGTGGTACGCCTATATTTATGTTAACCATACCCGATATGACCTGCTTCAATTGACCAGCGTTGTTGGGTGTTATTGCCACGAATTGTGACCTATTCTGCAAGTACGATTTTATCCACAGGTAGGCTGAACCACCAATTCCATAGTCTGTTAGTTTGGCTAATGGTATGTCATGACTGACACAGTCGAACGCCCTAGTGAGGTCACAAAATATCCCAACCGGGCATTCTCCTGCCTCAATACAGTAGACTAACATGTTGATAAATGAACGACATGCGGAAACCATGTTGATTGGATGATAGAGTGTCATTGCTTTCCAAGAACAGCAGAAGTCGATCTAAAAAACAATACTCAAGAATCTTGGAAAAACAGCATGGAACAGTCACCGGTCTGTAATTGCTAACCAAAGAAGTATCTCCTTTCTTAAGAATTGGAGTTACTTTTCTTGTTTTCAGGTTGTTTGGAAATACACCAGTGCAGAATGATAAATTAACTAGAAAAACAAAAGGTTTGGTTATGTACAATAATATTTTCTTGACTAAGAAATTCGGAACTTCATTGGTGCCTGAAGAACGCTTGTTTTTTAACTTTTCATTAATTAGTTTATAGAATTCTTCCTCCAAGAACGGGTATAACAACATAAAAGATTTTTGGTCGCAGGTATGATCACTTGGAACTGAATTTGTATCCTTAGATATTTTTTGAATAATATCCAAAGGAGCCTGTTTAAAATAGTAGTTAAAATAATTAGAAATTTCTTGTGGATTTCTAATGGTTAATCCATTATCAAGCAGTACAATGTTCTTTGATACTCTATTTCTTCCGTTTATGTCAGAAACCACATTCCAGGCAGCCTTCATCACGTTGTGCGAATTGGATATTTTTTGTTGATAATATGCCTTTTTTGTTTTTCTGACAAGCTTCTGATGTTGTTTTTTTGCATCTAGGTAATGTTGTCTGTACTCAGGGATAATTGTTGACAACATATGCTGTTCACGCAAGCATAAACTCGACAACTTTACATTTTCATCGACCCATTTCTTGCTGTTGTCTTTAATCAGACATTTACGCAGTGGAAAATGTATTTGGAAGTGATAGTCAAACACTCGAAAAAAGTACTCAAATGCATTATTTATATCCCGGTAACTATACAGAGGTGACCAGTTTTCCTTACTTAACGAAGTTTTGAACAGACCGGGTACCAAAAACCCTTTTAACTTTTTCTTTTACCGCATCCTCAGTTTGAAGACATTCCATAATTTCTATAAGTACTGTTCTATGGTCAGATATTACATTATCAACAACGCAATTCAAACATTTATCATTGAAGTTGGTGAAAACTTGGTCTATCGTTGTGATAGACGTGCGCCCAATCCTTGTTTGCCAACCTACCTGTGGATGCAAGCCAAACTCAGACAATGCATTCACAAGCGCCTCATTATCGTCATTATGATTATAAGAATCTACATTGAAGTCGCCACAGAAAATTATATTTATATTTGGCCTAAAAACAAAATTTAGAGCCCTATTCAGATTGTCATGGAATATTTTCATATCTCCCGAGGGAGATCTATAGCACAAAATTATGATGCTACGTATACCACCATTTGAGAATTGAATGGCACACAACTCAATATTCTTATCCAGTGAAAACTGAGATACGTCAATAGGTTTTGCAACAACATCATCTCTACAATAAATCGCTAGACCACCGCCTTTGTACGACGATCTAAAATATGAGCTAACTGAAAATTCTCAATAACAAAATTATTAAGTGATTCAGCTGTAGCCCAAGTTTCAGTTAGGCAGAAGAACTTCACTCTTGCATAGTCAGATACCATAACATGTAGCTGATTGACTTTGTCAATATTTAAGCATTGAACATTAAGCAGTATTAGATTAGGCTGGAAGGCTGTGTCGATGTCGGTAGAACTCTTCTTTTCTGTAAAAAACGATTTATACTCGTATTTTTCGGCCATATTGATACGTTTAATGCAGTTTTAAAGTTACTTTCTGATATAGTTACTTTAAATGACGAATAAATATCCGGATATTTTGAAGTAATACATTCAACAATAGCCTTAGGGAAATTAGCCTTAACCATTGACTCCATCTCACATAATTTCGTTTTCGGATGAATTCGGCTGACATGCAACGCAATTTTTCTTTCAACGCCCTTAACCGGACAGCTGTCGGACCCATTCCCAATTATTAGATTGCGTATTCTGCGTTGTCGATCAACTAACTGCTACGTACTCTCGCTTGTAACTCCATCACCGCCGTCGCCAGACTGTTGAGTTGAAGGGGACAAAGTGGACGCGGACGTTTCTTCTGGTACTGCAGCACCATTTAACGACAGCGCCTGCTCGACTGCAAGTGCCACTTGCTGCCTCGTTACAGCGTTGCCAGTATTATTGGCTGCGTTCGATGTGACTGGCTTTTGAATTGATGAACTGGATGGCTTCTTTATAACATCACTGTACTTGTTGGTAGATGTCTTGTGTTTTCCGTATTGATAACATGACGATACAATTGGTTGCCTGTTAATATCGGCAACAGATGGCGATGTCTGTTCCAATATCTTTGATAAAGTTGATACTTGGTCAAGCAAACTTTTAATGGTTTGCTGTTGTGTTTTGATAATCAAATTCTTATGTCTGATTAGTTCCCTTAGTAATATATTGTCTTTCTCACTTATATCTACATCAATCATTTCTCTGACACTGCAAAATGAGATGTCGCTATCCTCGTCGATCTGTTCGTCCTCCATTGTGTTGATTGTTTCTTCTGAGGGGTCGTCAATAGAACAACAGATAACCGATTTATCATCAATCTTTTGCAGGTTTTTCATGTACTTGACGCATCCCGCATGTATCACAGTTTTACAATTAGCACATTGCGGACCACTTTTCGCGATAACACCACAACGCTTGCAACATTTTGTAACAGAACTATTAGCACGTCTTTCACTTGACGCCATCGTACATCCACCTTTAAACATCGTCAAAAATATTCCAACAGATCCCATCCATGATCATACCTTTACTTCGAGTAGGGAAGATACACGGCATTTGATGTTGCTGTATCCATTTACTGATGATGAATTATTTGACTTAATTAATGCCACTGGTCTTCATGATCAATATATCATTCTGCACAGGGAAATTTCCTTGTCTGCTTAAAACCGGAAATGTGATTCCATTATACAAGAAAGGGGATCCCTCTGAGCTGAGGCATTACAGACCAGTAACGATACCATCAACTTTTTCAAGAGTATTCGAGTACTGTTATCTGGACAGATTGTTTTTGTTTTTAGTAAATAATGATATTTTGACAGAGAATCAACACGGTTTTCGAAATGGAAAATTTTGTTAAAATGATTGGAAACTTTTGTCATCTCGGCGTCAATCATGAAGTGCAGTTGCAGAAAATGTCAAAGTAAATGGTCCACCAGATCATTGGATAAGGTCTTTTTTAGAGAATGGGTCTCAATTTGCTAGTATCATCGATAGTGGTCTGAATGCGCCTATTAAGTTCGACATGGCACACAACCCCATAGGCGTCCCTCAGGGCGCTATTCTACGACCTGTGCTATTCAGTCTATATTCAAATGACCTTGCTCTGTTTCTGTGAAGGTAGATTCATTTTATATGCGGATGATACTTCAACGGTGATATCGAGTAAGTGTGAGGCTACCTTAGAAAGAGAGTGTGGAGTTGTACTGCAAAATATTCATCAGTGGTTTAGTAGCAATCATCTCTATTTAAATTCTGAAAAAACATCGGTTGTGCAATTTCACAACATTCAGAAGAAGCCTAAGGCATTAAATATCACTTTTAATGGCTCAAGAATGTCCCTTGGCACGCAAGTCAAATTTTTGGGCTTGTATCTAGATACAGGTTTGAAGAATCACTGTGTATATATTGCGAAGCACGGATAGTTTCTATTTACTACACTCAAGTTGACACACGACTGGGGTATGCACTATGCTTCTGGGGAGTTTGTCCACAAATGCTCAGCAAGTATTTTTGGCTCAGAAAAGAGTGGTTAGATGCATGATAGGAGTCAGTAGTAGGCATTCTTGTAAAGATATTTTTAAGTGCTTTATGATTTTAACTTTACCATTTTTATTTTTATACTAAATGGCTGTATATACTTTTATTCACAAAAATAGGTTTTTAAATAATTTTAACTCGTATTCGACCAGGCAAGCTGGAGACTTAAATGCGTGTTTTACCAAGTATAAGAACGGCGTCAGATCTCCGGCAATACTGGGTCTACGAATTTTCAATACCAAACCATATTAAACTGTGTGGAGATATACATAATTTAAGGCTAAACTGACAGAATTCCGTGTAGGTAAATGTTATTTTGCTGTCTCTGAGTTTGTTATTTTATGATTTATTTGTGTATTGTTTTATCAGTTTGTATTCTGACGAATCCTCTACATACATTGTAACGTCTCGTAGGATAATATAAAAGTTGATTTGATTTGATTTGAAGTTAAAGACTTGCAAACTGTTCGTACCCCGGAAAATATTAAGCGAGTTCTTGAAAGTGTAGTGGTGCATCCTGAGACGTCTACCAGACATCGTGCTCAAGAACTTTGTATTCGTCTCACGTCATTATACACTATTTAAAAAAATAGCATTTGCGACCGTACAAAATTTAGTTAACCCAAGAACTACAGCCTAGTGACCATGAAAGTCCCGACAATACAGCCATGCAATATTGCAGCTTAATACCTAATACTCGTATAACGATTTTTACCGACAACTGATAGTGAGCGATGAAGCCCACTTCTATATGAACGGATTTGTTAATAAGCATGTGGGCATTAGAGAACCCTCGTTCATCCATCAACGACCACTAGATCCTCGTCGAGTCACAGTTTGGTGCGGTGTTTGGTATGGAGTTGTCATTGGATATCTTACTTCTTTGAAGACGTTGCAGGTAATTCTCTTACTGTCACTGGCGAGCGCTACCGTGATATGGTGCAAAACTTCTCTGGCTCCTCAAATCCAACCTCCAAAACATGTGGTTCCAGCAGGACGAAGCAACGTGTCACACAGCTAGGGAAACAATGAATCTTTTGCGAACAATATTTCCGGAACGTTTAATTTCTCGATTTGGTGATGTCAACAAGGTCACCGGATTTAACGGCTTCTCACTTTTTTGGGGGATTTTTGAATAATAGAGTTTATGCCAATAAAAAAATACTGTAGAGCAGCTGAAGAACAATATTACAGAAGCGATTGAAAATATTCCTCCAGAAACCTACCAGAAAGTGATGGAAAATGTAATCAAGAGTGCTCAGGTTTGCACGGCTCCTAGAGGCGAACATTTGTCTGATATTATTTTTCGTACATAATTTCTAAGTTTCAATGAAGGATTAAAATGAAAAAAATGGACGTATTTCATTTCATTTCACAAATATTCAAGATACAAGCTACAGTTACATATCGGCCACCCTGTAGATGAAATTAGGTAAAAAATTGATAGTGATATACAATCAATCAAAAAATGATGTGATAACAATTACTTGACTTTCAATGTTACTAAGACCAAGTTTATGACATTTAAATGCTCCCTTGAGTTTATAAATTTATTTAACATGTAGCAAAGATTTTCGTCATTATAAGAGTAATTAGTTACAACGTAGAGAAAAGCACCGCCTAAAGCAGTTACTTTGCCGTATTTTGAAAGCAGATTGAGAGATAGCATTCCTTTTTGCTGTTTTGATGTGTCTGTTCCCAAAATGGTTTTAAAAAGTGCTTATTCTACAAATTCTAGAGCTATATGCAGGCCTTTATTTTTTTACTAGTAGTACCTTAATCAACACTTGTGAAAGACCCAATCATTTATAATGATCTGAAGATGTACGTATATCGCCGTGAACTCAAAAACTTTTTTACGTGTCAGCCATATTATACCATGTGTGAGTTCTACAATTCATTTACTTGAGATCCAGATATGTAATTTTGTTTAGTTTTTAGTTAGCTTTGTAATTAAGAATGATTATATTCTTCCTACAATAAACCATATCTATCTATTATTTAAACTGCAAAAACGTGTCAATACAAGTTCTTGAAAATATATAAATTTCAGGCATTCTTATAAGATGTAGCCTATAACGCAAGTACGACGTTAATATTGATGATTGATGTTTGCTTTCAGGATCAGTACCAGTTCTGCTACAGAGCCGCGTTGGAATACCTTGGCTCCTTCGACCACTACGCCACTTAAATCAGTGCCCTGCAACCCCTAAAATGTCCTTCACACCCCCTCCCACGCCACACAATGTTAAATGAGCAGACAATAAACTGCCCATATGTATATCACTAGTAAGGAAATTTACCCCTATAAGTTATCAAGATTTATGCATATTGCATACACTATCATCGTATTGTTACTGCCAAAATGGACTACTACCGTTCAAGCTGTATATCTATCTGAAAACATGGTGAAACTTGAGATTAACCACATGTTGAGTAGTAAAAAATAGAAGAGCAAGAGGGTTAATTTAGGCATAATCATATGCTAATCGTCAAATAGTTAGAAACAGTGATTCTTCTTATACTTCTGTATTCAGGTAAAAGGCAGTAAAGTGTATAAATCGAAGTCTGAGAAAATTCCGTATACAATTCTGGATTTTATTCGAACTAGATAAATAATATTATTACAGCAAAATTGAATGATTATTGCAAAGTTACATGACTTCTTAGAGAGTCGTTTAAAAGTGATTTCAGAGGATAATTTATTTATTTATTTATATAATTTTTTTCGTAGTTTTCATATTCTTTCAAAGGAAAAACGCCGTAAATGCAGAATTTTATTTTAATTTAATGTAATTTATTCATATTGAAATTCACATAAATAGCACAAAAGTGATTTTTTTAACATATTCAATTAAGTAACATTAACGAAGTATATTTTCATGATATACTTATTCACAAATAATTGAACTATTACATAAAAAACTAAATAAGGAAACATCATCATATGTTACGAAGAGTAAAGGGGAGTACTTGTATCATGCAGTGAATAAAAGCAGCATAGTTTAAAAAGTACTGCTTTGTTACTTTGATAAATAGATTTAGCCTTTATGCTTAGGAAATGTAATGAATATGGATTATTTCTCAGCTTCTTCAGGATGAAAAAAATAGCAAAGCTAGCATTATTTTTCTGCGTCGCTGACGTTTTCTAATAAATGATCTAACTTATGATGTTATTTATGGATTATTTTGTTGTGCAATGAAACATTTTGCATAAGAAAATATTTCGTACATTGAAAGTATTCTTTTAGACACTATTCTTACCAAAAGTAAGTGCATATGTAATACTTTTTATTTGCCAAAAAAAACTTCTTCACTTTTTGTATCAAGTGTAGGCCCCTTGGAACGCTGTCGCTTCAACTGAATCACTTCAAAGAACTCAAAAACGCAATGGAGAAGTACTTTTATCCGATTGTCAGTAATATTCAGATAATTCGATCGGAACGGTACCTGAAGTGTCACAGCCGCGTAATTGACGTATTCTGACAAATGAGTTGAATGTAGGATGTACATTTTTAATATCTTCTTATGTGCAATAAGAAAATATTCCGTACATTGAAACTATGGAACGTACTACGTAATAACGCCCAGTGTTACTGTTACTAAACATAAAGTTATTTTGATTTCCGTTTTCTTTCTACGTTTTTGAGAATTCTGTTAGCCGAAGTATAGTCACTGTAATTGAAGTATTTTGACAAACGATTTAGATTTTCAATATTTTGTATGCAATAAAACATTTTGCATAGGAAAATATGGATATTGAAAGTGTCGTTTAAACTTCCTTTTTTTTTTGAGATCCATAAGCGGTTAGTCTCAGGTTTCACGTAGCCATACAATAGTGAATTATTACATTGTAGAAAACTAGTGTGCAAATGTGTGTAAAATATGTGCCTAATGTATATGTGGAAGAAAAATCGTCAGAAGTTCTATTTATTTTGATCACCGGATGATGGATATATACATGTCACTAATGTAAAACATATTACTTACGTGTGTAATCTTTGCTGGGTTTGCAATTTTAATGTGATTAAATTTTGAATGTCCAGGCGTTTTCAGAATTAGGGTGGATTTTAGAAAGGTGCAACATATTTGAGTTCATTTTAAATGCAAGTATGTTAAATTGACTCATTTTGCGCGAAACCAAACCAGATTCTATGAAATTTTGTATACCTCTAAAATGCTATGAGATTCGAGAAATGATGATTTTTATAAAAAATGACACTGCGATACTCTGCAAATTCTTTTAAAAAAATGAATTTAACTTGTTCAATTTTTTTTAGAATCCATTCTAAATTCACTACACTAAGCGTCTAAAGTAATGCAAATCTCATAAGTTTGTATTGCAAATCATTAGGAAAATATTAAAGATAATATAAAATAACCCCTGTTAGTGTGTAAATCTAAATTTTCAGACAATTTTTGACAAATTTTGATTTTTTAAAATATACTCTTAGCTTAGATTTTTGTCTAAACCTTCCCGAATTACCACATCACGTATGACAGTTGTAATGCAGCTTGTACATTTTGTTTGATTCTACTATTTCATATGTTTTATAATAATTATGATTTAATGTGATATTTTTATATTATATACGAGCGATTTTTACATTTACTTTTTATATATAACTATATACTATACTTAATTTTATTTTTACATTTATATACAATATTTTTATTCTATGATCGAATTTTGTGTAGATCTCAGTGTTTTGGAAAATATTTTTCGTCCCAGGATATATTTAGTATCATCCTATTCTACTTAATTTTTTGAGAAGATGTTTTATTATAGCCATAGTACATTAAAAATATGGTCGAAGATGTATTACAAGATGATCTCAGCCTCAAAAGCAGTAATTTGACATATGTCAAAAAGTTTGCATCACGTTATTTTCACATGATACTAATTCTTTGAAATTTGCTTAAGTTATAGGTTTGCTATTCAAAACAGTAAAAATACATAGATTAATTTTAAAACGAATACTTTTTTAAACAGCTGCAACATATAAAGAATAACAAAAAATTGTATCAATATAATTAGGATGCAATTAGCGAACATTGCAAGGCCCAACACTTCTTGAACTAAATGCCTAATATTTTTGTAAAAGCCACTTTTTTCAATGAAATCATTAAAAAAGACAGTATTAGCAGACGTTCTGCATTTTTAACTCATTTACATGATCTTGTAAAGATCTTAGCTGATTTGGTTTTGAGAACATTTTATCTCCAATTTCAGTATTTATTCGTCTTCAAAGCCAATTTCTAAGAACCGATTTTTTCCTTTTTTATCTGTGGAACAGCTGATATGCAAACTTTATGATAGCTAGTAGTGAAAAGGAAAGGTCTTTGAGATAAAGTTTAAACGGATTAGCAAAAGCGACAGGGGCAGTAATTATCATATTCATATCATATTCCGTTAATCTAATTTATAATTCTTGAGATCCATATTTGGGTTTTCTAATTTTCTATGGGCGTGGTAACATTTGAAACAAAAAAAAAGAAAAACAACCAGAATCGAAAAAAAACATGATCTTACGAAGATCCGAGGCTTATTTGATTGAACTTTTTATGTCCAATTCCAGATTTTTTCGCCTTACAAGTCAATTTGAAAAAAACCGGTTTTTTCCATTGTTATCTATGGAACATAACCGATATGCAAACTTTATGATAGCTAGTAATGAATAGGAAAGGTATTTGAGATCAAGCTTAAACTGTTTAGCTTACAGCCACAGGTGGTAGTAATTATTATGTGTTTCTTAATATTCAGATACTTTAATTTACAATTCTTGAGATCCATGTTTGGCTTTTCTAATTTTCTATGGTCGTGGTAGCATCTGAAAAAAAAAGAAAAACATTCAGGATTGAAAAAAAAAACTTAGCATGATCTTGTGAAGATCTGAGGCTCATTTCATTTTGACACCATTTTATCTCCAATTTCAGATTTTTTTCGCCTTACAAGACAATTTGAAAAAAAGATTTTTTCCATTGTTATATGTGGAAAGATTCTTGAGATCAAGCTTAAACTGACTAGTAAAAGTTTCAGGTTCTAGTAATTATCACGTCTTTTTTAATATCCAGATACAATTCTTGAGATCCATATTTGGTTTTTATTATTTTCTATGGGTGCGGAAACATCTTTCGAAAAAACAGAATCGAAACATTGCATGCAAGACTGTATGTTTTTGCTTTGAGCATATCTTGAAACAGGATACATATCTTTTGTTTTGAAATTCAATCAAACGTTGATCAATCTTATGCATAAACTTAAAATACTTTGTCTCACTTTTCAGTCTGATGTAAAATGTAAATGAATACGTTATTAGCAAAATTGTGATTCACGGCACTTATAAGGTTGAAGAAGTAAGGTTCTCATTTTCATTTCGATAAGTTTCGAATTTAAAGTCTGGGCGAGTTGCTATTAGTTTAAAAGTTTGATGACATAACTTTCCTGATTCTGAATCAGATTCTTCAGACATTTTCCAAAACAACCTGCAATCTATTTATTTTGTGCATTACTAATAAAGGATATAAACAAACCGAAAGTGAGCGTGGACTTTCCATAAATACACAAAACCAAAAAAATTATAATTGCAAAAACGGATATAGAAATTTCGAGTTTTTCTTCGTACTTATGGAACTCAATATGATATTTATTTAAAAAATTTTAGTGCTTTTTGTCATGTTTTTTTTATGGAAGAAAAGGTAATGAAATGATAAAGAGGAAGTTATTGAGCATATAGTTAAATAGCAAAAAAAATAGGAGATTTTAAAAATATTGATTTTTGTTTGGTGGGCGAATATTTGAATTAAAACAAAAGATACTTCAAATGATTCGTATCATGATGCGTGCCGTTTTGAGAAATCGCGTTTCGGGAAAACGCTAAGGTGCCCCCATTTTTGAACGGCTTTTTTCACATTTGAATTGTTTACATCCTATATACATTAACGTTGAAGAAATGTGAACCACTGAACTTTAACACACGAAAAACCGGTAAAAATGCAAGAAAGTAGACACATCTAATAATTTCAAGCTTCTAAACTGTGCAGCATTTGTTATGGCCAGTACTAAGTTACTGTATACTTGAAAAGTATATTTTTGTAATGTAGAAATAAACTCGCACTGGCGAATTTAACATCCTTTTGATGTGTCTTGGATGACTTTTCTCAATGCTATATCGCTGATTAGTAAATGTACAGCACTGTTTTTATTGATATATATGTTAAAGTTTGGTGTGAAAAACCTAAAACGAAATTCAGGAAATTAGGACGTTTTTGTGCAATTTTTTGGTGTATTTTGTATACTCATACAAATGGAAACCAAAGTCAAAAGATAACGTAGTTAAGATAAGTAGATTTTATAAGCCTGACTGTCATATTATGACATATCATTTGTGTTAAAATTGTGAGCCTACGTCTTTTCGACTTTGTGATTTCATTCGTATATTTTATGAAATTTTCGTAAGTCTGAAAGTCTCATAATGTAAAAAGGATAGTTACAGTTTCAACTGATGAAAGTGAAGTCAAGAACAGGCTCTTTCACAAGAGCATATCGTTTCACTTCTAATCTGTTCACAGTTTGGGAAATATTCTGGTTTTTGGAATTATCAAAATAAATAACTTTCCATCTTTCATTATGACAATTTGAGACTATAGATTCTAAAATATACACGGACATCCCCTTATGGACATTTCCATTATTGGACAAACCCACGTTTTGAGAATTATACTTCTTTGTGTATAAACTTTTTCCACTGATTTTTCACGTATATTTTGTACGGAGTAATTCTAACTAACATCCTGCTAATAGAAGTTAAACATGTCTAAATGTTTA